AATAAACTGTGGAAAATTCTGAAAGAGATGGCAACACCAGACCACCTGACCTGCCTGTTGAGAAACCTGTATGCAGGTCGGGAAGCAACAGTTAGAACTGGACATGGAACAACAGACTTGTTCCAAATAGGAAAAGGAGTACGCCAAGGCTGTGTATTGTCACCCTGCTTATTTAACTTATATGCAGAGTATATCATGAGAAACGCTGGTCTGGATGAAGCACAGGCTGGAATCAAGGTTGCTAGGAGAAATATCAATAACCTCAGATATGCAGATGACACCACCCTTATGGCAGAGAGTGAAGAGGAACTAAAAATCCTCTTGATGAAAGTGAAGGAGGAGAATGAAAAAGTTTGCTTAAAGCTCAACATTCAGAAAACTAAGATCATGGCATCTGGTCCCATCACTTCATTGCAAATAGATGGGGAAACAGTAGAAACAGTGTCAGGATTTATTTTTTTGGGCTCCAAAATCACTGCAGATGGTGATTGCAGCCATGAAAATAAAAGACACTTACTCCTTGAAAGGAAAGTTATGACCAACCTAGATAGCATATTAAATTACTTTGCCAACAAAGGTCCATCTGGTCAAGGCTATGGTTTTTCCAGTAGTCATGTATGGATGTGAGAGTTGGACGGTGAAGAAGGCTGAGCACCGAAGAACTGATGCTTTTGAACTGTGGTGTTGAAGACTCTTGAGAGTTCCTTGAACTGCAAGGAGATCCAACCAGTCCATCCTAAAGGAGATCAGTCCTGGGTGTTCATTGGAAGGACTAATGTTGAAGCTGAAACTCCAATACTTTGGCCACCTCATGCGAAGAGTTGACTCATTGGAAAAGACCCTAATGCTGGGAAGGATTGGGGGCAGGAGGAGAAGAAGGGGACGACAGAGGATGAGATGGTTGGATGGCATCACCGACTTGATGGACATGGGTTTGGGTAGACTCCGGGAATTGGTGATGGACAGGAAGGCCTGGTGTGCTGCGATTCATGGGGTTGCAAAGAGTCGGACATGACTGAGCGACTGAACTGACTGACTGACTGAATGTTCTTCAGGAATTGTTTCTGCAGAGTAAATATTCCATCAATCCATAGTAAATATTAGCTTTAACTGCCATACCTCCTCCTAAATCAGAGAGATGTTTGGGGTTCTCTGTCTTTTGAAATCAAGCCAATAACACTGAACTCTTTAGCTTCAGAGTCTCTTTCCATGTCTTCTGCAAAGCTTCAATAGTCTTAGTCTCTTGATAAAAGATGTGAAAGAGATGGCACTCTCTGCCACTTGACATTTATTTTTTGGCTGGTAGTTTGTAGTTCTGTTAGTTATTATTATTTTTATTGGACTATAATTGCTATACAGTGTTGTGTCCATTTCTGCTCTACAACAAAATGAGTCAGCTATATGTACACATATATCCTCTCCCTCCGGAATCTCCCTTCCCACCACCTCAACCCTCTAGGTCATCACAGAACACTGAGCTGAGCCCTCTGTGCTATGCAGCAGCTTCCCACTAACTACTTATTTTATACATGGCCATGTATATATACCAATGCTACGGTCCTTTGTAGAGAAGGAATAGAGATGCAGACATAGAGAATGGACTTGTGGACACAGTGGGGGAAAGAGAATGTGGGACAGATTGTGAGAGTAGCATTGCCTCTTGACATTTGTAGTTTTGCTTTTTTAAGTAAAAAATCTCTTTTGGCTTTTTTCATCATATCAAATCTCAAGTGTGTAGGGGTCATACAGTCTCTTTTGTTACTGCTGCTGCTACTGCTGCTGCTAAGTCGCTTCAGTTGTGTCCGACTCTGTGCGACCCCATAGACAGCAGCCCACCAGGCTCCCCCATCCCTGGGATTCTCAAGGCAAGAACACTGGAGTGGGTTGCCATTTCCTTCTCTAATGTGTGAAAGTGAAGTCGCTCAGTTGTGTCCGACTTGTATCAACCCCATGGACTGCAGCCTACCAGGCTCCTCTGTCCATGGCATCCTCCAGACAAGAGTACTTTTGTTACTAGGAGGTGACAAATTTTCACAACCCGTGAGGAGCTAATGTCAAGTGCACACATGGGACCATTCTGCAGTCTGGAAGTTCTCATTTTCCTTGTTTCTCTTCGTTTAAATATGAAGAGCTGCCATTACATGGAGCCCCACCTCTGCCAATAATTGTAGCCAAAACTTCCTCATTGTAATTCAGAGATGGGAATCCATATCATCTTTTAGGAATCAATGTTTTCACTTTGTATTCAAATAAGTGGAAGACAGGAAGGAAGGGATCCTCAGGATTGACACTGACTTAGTAGAGCTTCCGCATTCTGCCTCAACCCTGCACTGGCCAGAGTGTCTTGCAGTTTGTCCCATCAAGAGGTAAATTCTGTTTCCTTACTCTTTGGGTCTGGTTTGGCCTTATGACTTGCTTTGATCAATAGCACAACAGTGGAAATAGTGTTATATGAGTTCTGGAATCTAAGCCTTAAGAAGTCTTCAAGCATCTTCCTTTCCTTCCTGGAAGAGTCAACTTAGCAGACATGTAAATCTTGGAACTTTGAGTCCCAGTTAAATTTTGAGATCAGCAAAGTGGTATGAGTGAGGACAGAAAAGATCGTCAGAATGCCCAGTCAATGCACAGAATTGTGAAAAATAAAAAATTGTTGCTGTGTTTGGCTATTAAGCTTTGGCGTGGATTGTAATGTAGCAATTGGCAACTGAGACAATCTTTATATATTCAGTTTATTTCTACATGTGATAATTACCCTTGTGGAGAAGGTGGTCCATGTGTTTCCTTCAGATGAGCTCCCCCTTTCTTCCTCATCCTGGAAGTAGCCAGCATAGAAAGTGTTTTAGTAGTTGAGAATGTTTGATGCTATAATGCTGATTTAACTTTTAGTTCAATTTTTAAATATTTTTATAGACAAGTCATAGAACATTATTTTGGAAAGTAATTTCTGACAGTATCCAAAAGTGAAAGTGAAAGTCATTCAGTCGTGTCCGACTCTTTGTGACCCATGGACTATACAGTCCATGGAATTCTCCAGGCCACCACACTGGAGTGGGGGACTGTTCCCTTCTCCAGGGGATCTTCCCAACCCAGTGATCAAACACAGGTCTCCCACATTGCAGGCAAGTTCTTTACCAGCTGAGCCACAAGGGAACCCTAAAATACTGGAGTAGACACTATCCAAAGGTGTTGCTATTTCAATTTCTAAATCAGGGGTTAGGAAATCTTGCCATTACTTACTCATGGGGTAGGTTTCAATTTTCTTTGTAGAATTCAGTATTAATGTGCCCCCCGCCCCGAGTTAGTGTGTACCCCAACTGAGAACTACTCAAAACTACAAATTAGCTTCAATTAAAAGAGTCTTTTTAAAAACTGAACTCTGAAATTCCAACCTCCTAGGAGGAGACATTTAAGTTATGTTAAGTGAGTGAAGAGGAGGAGACATTTGAGTTGTTCAGTGAGGAGACATTTGTTAAGTGAGGAGATATTTGAATTATGAGGAAAACTCTGAGAGATACGCTCAGAAACATAGCACACCATCCAGATCCAGCATATTTTCTTAAAAATACAGTAATATATAACTCATTGAGTTGTATTCACTAAATATATATAACTTTTTAATACATCAATCAGACCTTAATAAAGTGTTTTTTTAAAATACAATGAAACATGGTATCTCCTTAACTGAACTCAATGGGACATATAACCGGTCTATGATTATAACTTGGAAATGTTGTATATTAAGTGAAAGGAATTGAGTACATTAAATTCTTTACAGGCAATTTTTTGGCATGTACTCCACTCTCAGAAATATCCTTTTTTCCAAAAGGGAGCTAGCAGTATTAAAGGGTATAATGTGTTTTAATTAACTCTGTCCTAATTCATTGGAAGGACTGATGCTAAAGCTGAAACTCCAATACTTTGGCCACCTCATTCGAGGAGGTGACTCATTGGAAAAGACCCTGATGCTGGGAGGGATTGGGGACAGGAGGAGAAGGTGACGACAGAGGATGAGATGGCTAGATGGCATCACTTACTCAATGGACATGAGTTTGAGTAAACTCCGGGAGTTGGTGATGGACAGGGAGGCCTTGTGTGCTGTGATTCATGGGGTCACAAAGAGTCGGACACGACTGAGCGACTGAACTGAACTGAACTGACTTTAGTATATTAAGTCACATGCACGTGCACATATACATACATGCCAGTTTTGTTCTAAAATCTTAAATCATCTATATCTGATGTAGCATCTATTATCAAAGTGATTTCAACATGGGTTATTCTTCCTCTATCTTCATATACAATATAAATTGCCTAGTTAGTAAGTAAAATGATCATGAAAACAATAGGAAAAAATGCCACTGAGTTTCTATATGCAGAGAAGTTTATTAGAAAGCAGAGAAGTGACAAAACAAAAGAAATTCACTCAAGGAGAAAATACAGGGTAATTTGGGCCCCTCCACCCCCGATCTCAGGGTGTCAACTCAGTGCCACTCAGTAGCTGCAGATAATGGCCACCTTGTGGACCACCTGCAGATCATGACCAAAATATCAGGAAGAATAAAAAGTTTAGAGGACTGAGATAATTTCTTATCTGATGGATTGCAAATTAATTTTTATTTGGTGCTGATATAGAAAGGAAAATATAGCAAGAGAGAATTATAAATGAGCCGGAATATGCTCACAGAGTCAGCAGAACAGTGGTGGACCCACTGGAATCATGAGATTCAACTAACTGAACGATGTCAGCTAGACTCCATGAGTCCTAACGGTCAGCGTGAAAAAGGATCTACATATGTAGGACAGAGTAAGTGGAGACAATGGTCACAAGACAGCGGGCTCAGCAGCAAGAGGAGGGACAGCACACGGGGCGGGGGCAGGTGGAGATGACACAGGTGGGCCGATAGCAGGTGGTGTGGCAGGAGACCCGGCCACACACTGGGCGCAGGCAGGAGCTCGGGCGGCAGCAGCTGGAGATGCGGGAGCAGGTGGGCTGGCAGCACACAGACTGGCAACAGCGGGGCCTGCAGCAGCTGGAGATGCAGCAGGTAGGCCTGCAGCAGCTGGAACCACAGCTGGACCCACAGCAGGAGGGGCGGCAGCAGCTAGAGATGCAGCAGGTGGGGCGAGGGCAGGTGGGCTGGCAGCACACAGGCTGGCAGCACTGGGGCCTGTAGCAGCTGGAGATGCAGCAAGTAGGCCTGCAGCAGCTGGAACCACAGCTGGACCCACAGCGAGAGGGGCGGCAGCAGCTAGAGATGCAGCAGGTGGGGCGAGGGCAGGTGGGCTGGCAGCACACAGGCTGGCAGCACTGGGGCCTGCAGCAGCTGGAGATGCAGCAAGTAGGCCTGCAGCAGCTGGAACCACAGCTGGACCGACAGCAGGAGGGGCGGTAGCAGCTAGAGATGCAGCAGGTGGGGCGAGGGCAGGTGGGCTGGCAGCAGATGGGGCGGCAGCAGGTGGTCCTGCAGCAGGTGGTCTGGCAGCAGCTGGGCTGGCAGCAGGCCTCCTGGCAGAGACTTCGGCCACAGCTCTGGTCAGAGCAGACAGAGCCACAACAGGAGCTGACCATGGTGTCAGAGGGTGGAGGTTATGGGTGTGTTTCCAAGAAAGTGAGTTTCTTGAGTCTGAGAGTCTCCTTGGCCCACAGCCCCCTTTATATCCTGCTGAAAAGCTGCTATCATTACAACATTGTTTCCTTGTTATTGTTTACCCTCCTAGGAAAATTGATCATTTAATTACATAATTGTGTGTTTCTCATTCAATATTTCAAAATGGGGAAAATAACACTATTCCTTTTCCTGGTATGCTCCTGTGTGTCCAACTGAAAGCCTTGTCCCAGTTCTTCCTTAGTGGGTGTCACCTTTGCTCCTGGTGAGTTCAGTGTCTTACAGAACATTAGTTATATGGCGCTAACATTTTTTTTTTTTGAATGTGCTATTCTCTCCTATCATTGCTCTTTGAACATCAGAGAAAATGTTTCTTATAAGGCTCATGTATATTTTGTTGTCAAAGGTGAGGGGAACATAGCTTGTCAGATGAAACACTGAAAAGGAATTAGACAGAAAGATGTTTGGGGGGAGGATGTCCCACAAATAATATGGATGAATGTGATCCTATGTGGGCATCTTGGATGGTCAGGAAGATAGTTAGACCACAGGGAAGTTTCAAATTCTGTGTCTGATTTCACCCCACTGTCTCAAGCACTTAGCAATACTCATAGCTTTTAAATAGAAGAAACACATTTTTGCTGTATGTCTCCCAGGCCAGGCAACCAGATGGATGTTGTGATTTATCTTTTAGTTGTTAAACTCATACACAGCATATTTCATTATAAAAGCATTCGTTACATATAAACATGTTTGGAATGATTAGGCCCTCAAAAATATGGATCCAACACATTCTGTTGGGTAGTAAGAGAACTTGACAGATAACTCCTCATCTTTTTCCTGTAGATACTTGACTAAGACACATGCATAAGAAACAGTTTCAATCAGTTCAGTTCAGTCGCTCAGTCATGTCTGACTCTTTGTGACCCCATGGACTGTAGCATGCCAGTCCTCCCTGTCTATCACCAACTCCTGAAGCTTACTCAAACTCATGTCCAAAAAAAAGGAAAAAGAAAAAATCATGTCCATTGAGTTGGTGATGCCATCCAACCATCTCATCCTCTGTCATCCCCTTCTCCTCCTGCCTTCAATCTTTCCCAGCATCATGGTCTTTTCAAATGAGTCAGTTCTTTGCATCAGGTGACCAAAGTATTGGAGTTTCAGCTTTAGCATAAGTCCTTTCAAAGAATATTTAGGACTGATTTCCTTTAGGATGGACTGGTTGGATCTCCTTGCTGTCCAAGGGACTCTCAAGAGTCTTCCCCAACACCATAGTTCAAAAGCATCAATTCTTTGGCACTCAGCAGCTCCAGCAAGACCATAGGCCCTGGAGCAGTGGCTGTGTGGTGCTGAGGTGACTATGAGGAGATACCCCACATCCAAGGGCAGAGAAGCCCCAGCAAGATGGTAGCTGATGCTGGAGTGGTGGCTGTGTGGTGTTGGAGCAACTTTAAGGAGATACCTCATGTCCAAGAGCAAAGGAGAAGTCCCAGCAAGATGGTAGAAGGGGCAAAATCGTATTTAGAATCAAAGTCCATACGTGCTAGAGATGCTTAGAGGGCTCAAACATACCTTGTGCACACCAGGACCTAAAGACCCCACAGAGACTGAGACAGAACTATGTTGGAGTGCCCCCTGAGGAGTTATGCTTCAGCAGCAGACTGCTGAAGGGACAGGGACTCTGGGTGCAGTAGACCTGGGTATGGCATAAGCCCCCTTGGAGGAAGTTGCCATTAACCCCACCACAGAGCCACCAGAATTTACACAGGACTGGGGAAACAGACTCTTGGAGGGCACAAACAAAACCTTGTGTACACCAGGACCCAGGAGAAACAAGCAGTGACCCTACAAGAGACTGAGCCAGACTTGCCTGTGAGTGTCCAGGAGTCTCCAGCAGAGGCGTGGGTTGGCGGTGGCCTGCTGCAGAGTTGGGGGCGTTGAATGTAACAGTGCGTGCATGGGACCTTTCAAAGGAGGAAGCCATTATATTCATTACCTCCATCATAGTTTGGCCCCTGGTAAATAGCAGAGAGGGAACGTAGCTTTGCCCTTCAATAGAAAATTGATAAGTATTTACTTGAAGAAAGTGGAGAAAATCACTAGACCATTCAAGTATGACCTAAATCAAATTCCTTATGACTATACAGTGGAAGTGAGAAATAGATTTAAGGGACTAGACTTGATAGACAGAGTGCCTGATGAACTATGGATGGAGGTTCATGACATTGTACAGGAGACAGCAATCAAGATCGTCCCCAAGAAAAAGAAATGCAAAAAAGCAAAATGGCTGTCTGAGGAGGCCTTACAAATAGCTGTGCAAAGAAGGGAAGCGAAAAGCAAAGAAGAGGAAAGATATACCCAATTGAATGCAGAGTTCCAAAGAATAGCAAGGAGAGATAAGAAAGTCTTCCTCAGTGATCAGTGCAAAGAAATAGGGGAAAACAATAGAGTGGGAAAGACTAGAGATCTCTTCAAGAAAATTAGAGATACCAAGGGAATATTTCATGCAAAGATGGGCTCAATAAAGGACAGAAATGGTATGGACCTAACAGAAGCAGAAGATATTAAGACGAGGTGGCAAGAATACACAGAAGAACTATACAAAAAAGATCTTCACAACCCAGATAATCACCATGGTGTGATCACTCACCTAGAGCCAGACATCCTGGAATGTGAGGTCAAGTGGGCCTTTGGAAGCATCACTATGAACAAAGCTAGTGGAGGTGATGGAATTCCAGTTAAGCTATTTCAAATCCTGAAAGATGATGCTGTGAAAGTGCTGCTTTCAATATGCCAGCAAATTTGGAAAACTCAGCAGTGGCCACAGGACTGGAAAATGTCAGTTTTCATTCCAATCCCAAAGAAAGGCAATGCCAAAGAATGCTCAAACTACCACACAATTGCACTCATCTCACACGCTAGTAAAGTAATGCTTAAAATTCTCCATGCCAGATTTCAGCAATACATGAACTGTGAACTTCCAGATGTTCAAGCTGGCTTTAGAAAAGGCAGAGGAACCAGAGATCAAATTGCCAACATCCACTGGATCATCAGAAAAGCAAGAGAGTCCCATAAGAACATCTATTTCTGCTTTATTGATCATGCCAAAGCTTTTGACTGTGTGCATCACAATAAACTGTGGAAAATTCTGAAAGAGATGGGAATGCCAGACCACCTGACCTGCCTCTTAAGAAACCTATATGCAGGTCAGGAAGCAACAGTTAGAACTGGACATGGAACAACAGACTGGTTCCAAATAGGAAAAGGAGTACGCCAAGGCTGTATATTGTCACCCTGCTTATTTAACTTATATGCAGAGTACATCATGAGAAACACTGGGCTGAATGAAGCACAAGCTGGAATCAAGATTGCTAGGAGAAATATCAATAACCTCAGATATGCAGATGACACCACCCTTATGGCAGAGAGTGAAGAGGAACTAAAAATCCTCTTGATGAAAGTGAAAGAGGAGAGTGAAAAAGTTGGCTTAAAGCCCAACATTCAGAAAACTAAGATCTTGACATCCAGTCCCATCTCTTCATGGCAAATAGATGGGGAAACAGTGGAAACAGTGTCAAGATTTATTTTCCTGGGCTCCAAAATCACTGCAGATGGTGATTGCAGCCATGAAATTAAAAGATGCTTACTCCTTGAAAGGAAAGTTATGACCAAACTAGATAGCATGTTAAAAAGCAAAGACATTACTTTGTCCACCAAGGTCTGTCCAGTTAAGGCTATGGTTTTTCTAGTAGTCGTGTATGGATGTGAGATTTGGACTATAAAGAAGGCTGAGTGCTGAAGAATTGATGCTTTTGAACTGAGGTGTTGGAGAAGACTCTTGAGAGTCCCTTGGACTGCAAGGAGATCCAACCAGTCCATCCTAAAGGAGATTCGTCCTGGGTGTTCATTGGAGGGACTGATGTTGAAGCTGAATCTCCAATACTCTGGCCATCTGATGAGAAGAACTGACTCATTTGAAAAGACTCTGATGATGGGTAAGACTGAGGGCAGGAGGAGATGAGGATGACAGAGGATGAGATGGTTGGATGGCATCACCGACTCGATGGATGTGGGTTTGGGTGGACTCTGGGAGTTGGTGATGGACAGGGAGGCCTGGCGTGCTGCAGTTCATGGGGTCACAAAGAATTGGACTTGACTGAGCAGCTGAACTGAACTACTGAGCATGGCCCCACCCATCAGAACAAGAGCCAGTTTTCCCCTTAGTCAGTCTTTCCCATCAGGAAGCCTCTATAAGCCTCTTATCTTTCTCCATCATAGTGCAGACAGACTGAAAACCAAACACAGAAAACTAACCAATCTCATCACAGGGACCACAGCCTTGTCTAACTCATTGAAACTATGAGCCATGCTGTGTAGGGCCACCTAAGACAGACAGGTAATGGTAGAGAGTTCTGACAGAGCTTGGTCCACTGGAGAAGTGAATGGCAAATCACTTCAGTATTCTTACCTTGAGAACCCCATGAACAGTATGAAAACAGTTTGGCAATAGTTAAAAGAAGGGCTTCCCTGATAGCTCAGCTGCAGTGTGGGATACCTGGGTTCGATCCCTGGGTTGGGAAGTTCCCCTGGAGAAGGGAATGGCTACCCATTCCAGTATTCTAAACTGGAGAATTCCGTGGACTGTATAGTCCATGGGATCGCAAAGAGCTGGACACAACTGAATGACTTTCATTTTCAAAAGAATGACAGTTATTTAAGTCTTTATTTTTAATTGGAAGATAGTTCCTTTACAAGGTTGTGTAGGTTTCTGCAGTACAACAATGTGATTGAGCCATAATTATATATATGTCCCCTCCCTTTGAGCTGCCATCCCACCCCAATCCCATCCCACCCCTCTAGGTTGTCATAGAGCACTGAACTGAGCTTCGTATGTTATTTTAAATGAAGAACTGAGATCATCATATATAGTATGTGGATAAGTTCCATACATTGTCAATAAAAGGTGAGGAATGATGACATTTATCATTTGTACTCACTACTCACTATGCTAAATTCACTAGGCATTATGCTGTATTCAATAAGCATTGTGCTGAATATCTTATATTTGTTTTGAATCTTTAAAGCAGTATATAATATAGTGTGTATTCTTACTACTTCTTTAAGCAATAAACCAAAGAAGCATAGAGACATTAAGAAGAAAAAGAGAAAGCTTGTGTGTAAGATTAAACAGAAGTTAAGCTATATTAGGACACCTGAGAAGGGGTGAAAAATAAAGCTTGCAAGCCTTTGCTGAAGCCGCTTCATCTTCCTGGAATGTTTCTTCTTTGTCATTATTTCTGCAAAGTCCTATTCCTCTGTCAAAACCCTAGCTTTCCTCTGAATGCTTCCTCCCAATGATTAACTACTGTGTTCAAATATAATTTGTCCCTGCATTGTGCTCCGAATTTTGCACTTTCTGCGATGCAGACACCCTGAGGGCATGAACTATAAAGTTTAATTTTGTTACTGGGACAGAGGACATTAGTGACAAATGTTTGTTGAGTGAATGAAGGCTTTTGGATAAATTAAGGGTATGTAATGGTCCTTTAAAAAATTTATCTGTTTTGCCTGATAATGAAAAGTGGGAGAAACATTCCAAACAAAGGGATCATGGTTACACTTGAGGAAAACCACATTTGTTTACATGACAAGCAATGTGTCACCTGATAAAACACATTTGTGGAAATTCAAATTTGACCTATAGAATGGAACTTATTTACAGGTAACCATGGATAAAGATACTGTATTAACGCAGAAACAGATACGATAGAAAGGAGGTGAATACAAATGTTGACACTGGTTCTCTTCACTTCCAGACATCCCAATTTAGCTCTCTTTTGTGAGAAATAACCACCATCACTGGTCTAATGTCAATCAGCTAAAAATATTTGCTGAACATCTATTGTCTGTGTTTGAATTGCACCCAAAGTAGATATTGAAACAAAGATATGAGTGCAAGTAGTTCACCTGGGGATGCAATTCTCGGAAGTACACAAGAGGAAGTGGGAAAGGAAGACAGGAAAGAAAGAAAAAGCCAAAGTCTGGGTTAATAATGCAGTTGCCACTGTGGGTAACTGAGGAATGAATCTGGGGCATACCTGAGGCTGGGAGCTATTAGCTGCCATGGTTATATGCCTAGAAAATCCCACAGAATCAACTGAGTATTACTGTTAACAGTGAAGCTGGCTGTCTTAGAAAACTGATAGATTTCTCATGCACTTTTATATTTCTTCATAAAATGTAATGGCAAAAATGTGAATTCACAGATCTGAGCAATAAATATAAAAAGATATGTAAACAAAACTGTCAAATAATATACGTATCTGGTACTGGAGGAGTGTATTAACATTGCCTGAAGACGAAAAATGATATTTGAATAAACATCAGAAAAAAATGTACACGTAAAGGTGAGTTTGTGAATAAAGACATAAATGTCATGCAAAAGGATTCAATAAGAATTTATCTCCATTTGTAAAAATTGGTTTTGAATGGGATTGGCAAAGACAAATGATGGGCAACTCACTTTTGATCACATTCTTTAGTGTTATTCAAATTTTTTTAAAAAAAGCATGTGTTTGTGTATAAGTGACATAAAATCCTTAGAGAAGAAATAAGTACTTCAGGTAAAATTCACAGTTCTGTCTAAAATTCAGTTCCATAAGTTTTCTACATTTATGTTTAAGCTTGTACTTATTATATACTATCGCTCAGTCGTGTCCGACTCTTTGTGACCCCATGGACTGTAGCCTACCTGGCTCCACTGTCCATGGGATTTTCCAGGGAAGAATACTGCAGTGGGTTGCCATTTCCTTCTCCAGGAGATCTTCCTGAACCAGGGATTAAACCCGGGTCTTGCGCATTGTAGGCAGACGCTTTACCGTCTGAGCCAACAGGGAAGTCTTATTATGTACTAAAAGATGATAACTACACTGAGTCAGTCTTTCCGGATCTCAAATTAACTGTTGTGAATTACAAATTGCTTTTGGGGACTGAATTCCCTAGGAAGCAGACCCAGAGATGAAAATTAGCAAACAGGGTGTTTATTGAGAAGTGATCTTGGAATTAGTACTGCTAGGAAGAAAGGGAAAGGAAGTGAGCAGAAAAGGACAGTTGGAGAAATCAAGCTAGAATAGAGTTCTAGTGGACATCTAAGCATGGCACTGGAAAGGTCCCTTTTTACTCTTGGACATAAAATCACAGTCACCAGCAATACCTAGGAAATGTCACCAAGTTTGTTTCATTGCTTTATATCAGCTGCCTGGCACTGAAGGCAGAATAAACTGAATACTCTGAATAGTAATAATAATAATAAACCAAATCTACTGAAGCTCTAGCTACCAGAATAAAGCAGAACTCCACTGTATGTGTCGGGGCTTCCATAGTGGTTCAGAAGATAAAGAATCTGCCAGCAATGCAGGAGACCTGGGTTCGATCACTGGGGCAGAAAGATCCCTTGGAAAATGGAATGGCAACCCACTCCAGTATTCTTACCTACAGAATCCCTAGACAGAGGAGCCTCCTGGAATACAATCCACAGGGTTGCACAGAGTTGGACTCGGCTGAGTGACTAACATTTCAACTGTGTACATGGACGAAGGACTCATTGTTTGTGACCCGAAGCAGAAAATACATAGACTTTACTAAGCTATCTATGTGATGCTTTTATAAGTGAAAAAACCCTGAAAGGTGGTGTTGTTAAAAAACCATGAATTGTGTTCAATCTTTCCAAATCTTTTCTCATGTTATTATCTTCATAGATATCATTTCAATTTCACCCCCTTTCCCCATAAAGACTAGAAACTGATTAATTTTCTATTTTTCAGACATAACTAGGCAGTGATAAATGTCATTGGACTTCTCTTGAAGGTTGATTAATTTGTGTTGTTTGGCAGGTGCAGGCAAAATTCAATTACTTTGGATCAAAATGTAAATCCTTTAAAAAAAGAAAGAAAGTAACAATCAGATTCAAATTTCAGTACCAATAGGAGGACGTTTATTTAGGTTCATGGAAATAAAAAGATGTAAGAAAATCTTTACCAAAGAGTACACCAAAAAATCTTCATTGGATTTCCATATCAGAGAGATAGAAATCGATGGCCCCACAAGTGATAGAGACAAATTCCTTAAACATAAAAAGCAGATGTCCTAAAGAAATAGGAACGAGTGTTGGGAGAATGTTATCTAGGATATTCTGAGTGTTCTCATTTGGAAGGGAGGGAGTTTGGAGAGAAATTAGAACATGGGCTCGGTATGTCTGGTGTTTGCTTATGAAATTCAAGGGACCAGTTCTCTTGAACCCTCCACATTTTAAACAGAAGCTCTGCAACTGTGGGGAGGGAGGAAATGAGGAAGCAGTGTGCTCAAAGCAGAGATTCAGCAGCAAGAGGAGGGACAGCACACGGGGCGGTGGCAGGTGGAGATGACACAGGTGGGCCGATAGCAAGTGGTGTGGCAGGAGACCCGGCCACACACTGGGCGCAGGCAGCAGCTTGGGCGGCAGCAGCTGGAGATGCGGGAGCAGGTGGGCTGGCAGCTCACAGACTGGCAGCACTGGGGCCTGTAGCAGCTGGAGATGCAGCAGGTAGGCCTGCAGCAGCTGGAGCCACAGCTGGACCCACAGCAGGAGGGGCGGCAGCAGCTGGAGATGCAGCAGGTGGGCCGAGGACAGGTGGGCTGGCAGCACACAGGCTGGCAGCACTGGGGCCTGCAGCAGCTGGAAACACAGCTGGACCTACAGCAGGAGGGGCGGTAGCAGCTAGAGATGCAGCAGGTGGGGCGAGGGCAGGTGGGCTGGCAGCACTGGGGCCTGCAGCAGCTGGACACACCACAGCTGGGGCGGCAGCAGGTGGTCCTGCAGCAGGTGGTCTGGCAGCAGCTGGGCTGGCAGCAGGTCTCCTGGCAGAGACTTCGGCCACAGCTCTGGTCAGAGCAGACAGAGCCACAACAGGAGCTGACCATGGTGTCAGAGGGTAGAGGTTCTGGGTGAGTTTCCAGGAAAGTGAGTTTCTTGAGACTGAGATTCTCTTCGGTCTGCAGCCGCCTTATATCCTGCTGAATGGTCGCTACCATTACATCATTATTTCCTTGTTATTGTTTAACCACCCCCCCCTTGGAAAACTGATCATTTAATTTCATAATTGTGTGTTTCTCATGCAGTATTCCAAAATGGAGTAAACAATAAGTTTCCTTTTCCTGGTAAGTGCCTGTCTGTTCAATTGGAAGCCCTGTCCCAGTTCTTCCTTTTGGGTGTCACCTTTTTTACTGATTGGTTCAATGTCTTATAAAGCTTTTGTCATTTGACTCTAGCATCTTTTTTTTTTTTATGTGATATTCTCTCCTATCACTGCTCTCTGAACTTCAGAGAGAAAAATTTCTTATATGGCTCATGTATATTTTGTTGTCAAGGGTGAGGGGAGCAAGTCTGGTCAGGTGAAACACTGGAAAGGAATTAGAAAGATGTTTGGGGGAGGATGTCCCACAAATAATATGGATGACTGTGATCCTGAGTGGGCATCTTGGATGGTCAGGAGGATAAGTAGACTACAAGGAAGTTTCAAATTCTGTGTCTGATTTCACTCCACTGTCTCAAGCACTTAGCAGTACTCACAGCTTTTAAATAGAAGAAACAGGTTTTTGCTGTATGTCTCCCAGGCTAGGCAACCAGAATGGGATGTTGTGATTTATCTTTTAGTTGTCAAACTTGTACACAGGATATTTCATTATAAAAGCATTTGTTATATATAAATGTGTTTGGAATGATTAAGCCTTCAAAAATATGGATCCAAGAATTCTGTTAGGTAGTAAGAGAACTTGACAGATAACTCCTCATCCTTTTCCTGTAGATACTTGAATGAGACACATGCATAAAAAACAGCCTGGCAATAGTTAAAAAAAAAAAAAAAAAGGGCTTCCCTGGTAAGTCAGCTGGTAAAGAATCTGCTTGCAATGTGGGATACCTTGGTTCGATCTCTGGGTTGGTAAGATCCCCTGGAGAAGGGAACGGCTACCCATTCCAGTATTCTGACCTGGAGAATTCCATGGACTATATAGTCTATGGGGTCACAAAGAGCTGGACATGACTGAGTGACTTTCATTTTCAAAAGAATACCAGTTATTTTTTTAAGTCTTTATTTTTTAATTGGAGGATAGTTCCTTTACAAGTTTGTGTAGCTTTCTGCATACAACAATGTGATTCAGGCATAAGTATATATATGTCCCCTCCCTCTGATCCGCCCTCCCATCCCAATCCCATCCCACCCCTCTAGGTTGTCATAGAGCACCAGACTGAACACCCTATGTTATTTTTAAATGAAGAACTAAAATCAACATATATCCATACATCTTCAATAAAGGTGAGGAATAATGGTATTTATCATTTGTAGAGTATTTACTATGCATTACGCTAAATTTACCAGACACTGTGCTGAGCACTGTGCTGAATATCTTTTATTTGTTTTGAATCTTTAATGCAGCATATAATATAGTGTGTATTCTTACTACTTCTTTAAGCAATAGGCCAAAGAAGCATAGAAATGTTAAGAGAAAAAAAAATTTGTGTAAGATTAAACAAATGTTAAGCTGTTTAGGACAGCTAAGGAAGAGGTGAAAAATAAAGCCTGCAAGCCTTTGCTGAAGCCATGTAATCTGCCTGAAATGTTTCATCTTTGTCATTATCTCTGCGAACTCCTATTCTTCTCTCAAAACCCCAGGTTTACCCTTCTTGCTTCCTTGCAATGATGAACTACCCCGTTCAAATACAATCTGTCCCTGAGTTGTGCTGTTTTTGGCACTCTCTGCTGTACCAGTTACTTTCTGTTATTCCACTATTGCGATGGAGACACCCTGAAGGCATGACCTATAAAATTTATTTTTGTTACTGGGACAGAGCACATCAGTGACAAATGTTCATCGGGTGGAATGAAGGCTTTTGGATGACTTAAGGGTATGTCAAGTTCCTTTAAAAAATATGTCTTTTTTGCCTGGTGGAGAAAAGTGGGAGAAACATTCCAGTCAAAGGGATCATGGTTACACTTGAGGAAAACCACATTTGCTCATGTGGCAAGCAACATGCCACCTGATAAAACACGTTTGTGAAAGTTCAACTTTGATCCATAGAATCGTACATACTTATAGGACACCATGGATACATATACTGTATTAACACAGAAACAGATATGATAGAAAGGAGGAGAACACAAGTGTTGACACTGATTCTCTTCTCTTGCAGACAGCCCAATTTAGCTCTCTTTTGTGAGAAGTAACCACCACCACTGGTTTAATATCAATCAGCTAAAAATATTTGCTGAGCATCTATTGTCTTTGTTTCAATTGCACCCAAAATAGATAATGAAACATAAATGTGAGTGCAAGTAGTTCACTTGGCAGGGGGGTGGGGGGGTGGAGGGGTGAATTCTGGGACATACACATGAGGAAATGAGAAAGTAAGGCAGGAACAAAAGAAAAACCCATAAGTCTGGGTTAATAACTCAGTTACCACTGTGGGTAACTGAGGAATGAATCCGGGGACATACCTGAGGCTGGGGGCTATTCACCACCATGATTATATGTCTAGAAAATCCAAAAGAATCACCTGAATATTATTCTTAACAGTGAAGTTGGCTGGCTTAGAACACTGCTAGATTTCCTTGCACTTAGCAATATTTCTTCATAAAATCGAATGGGAACCATGTATTCACAGTTCTCAACAATAAATATAAAATATATGTAAACAAATCTGTCAAATAATATACTTACCAGGTGTTGGAGGAATGTATTAACATTACCTGAAGGCCAAAAATTAATATCTGAATAAACATCAGAACAAAAAAATGTACAAGTAAAGCTGGGTTTCTAAATAAAGACATAAATGTCATACAAATGCATTCAATAAGAATGTATCTCCATTTATAAAACTTGGTTTTGAATGGGATTGGCAAAGACAAATGATGGGTAACTATTTTGATCATTCTTTTGTGTTATTCAAAATTTTTAAAAAAGCATGTGTGTGTATAGGTGACATAAAATCCTTAGAAAAAAATAAAAGTACTTTAGATAAAATTCACAGTTCTAAGGATTCATTTCCATAAGTTTTCTCAGATTTTAAGCTTCTACTTACTAGACACTAAAAGATGAAAGCTACATTTCAGTCAGTCCTTCCAGCTCTCAGATTAACTGTTGTGAATTATAAATTGCTTTTCGGGACGGTTTGAGTTCCCTAGGAAGCAGACATAAAGGGGAAAATTAGCAAACAGGGTCTTTATCGCGAAGTGCTCCTAGGACTACGGCCTCTAGGAGGAAAGAGGAGGGAAGTGAGCAGAAGTGGACAGTTGGAGAAATCAAGCTGGGATAGAGTTTCAGTGGACATCTAAGCATGACACTGGAAAGGTCCCCTTTTTTTGTCTTGGACATAAAATCACAGTCACCAGCAATACCAAGGAACTGTCACCACGTCTGTTTCATTCATTTATATCATGTGCCTGCCAATGAAGGTAGCCCCACCATAAGTCAGAATAAACTGAATACGCTGAATAGTGATAATAATAATAAACCAAATCTACTGAAGCTCTGGCTACCAGAATAAAGCAGAACTCCACTGTATGTGTCGGGGCTTCCATGGTGGCTCAGAAGATTAAGAATCTGCCCGCAGTGCAGGAGACCTGGGTTTCATCACTGGGGCAGAAAGATCCCCTGGAGAATGGAATGGCAATCCACTCCAGTATTCTTGCCTGCAGAATTTCGTGGACAGAGCAGCCTGCTGGGCTACAATCCACGGGGTCACATAGAGGTGGACACGGCTGAGTGACTAGCATTTTCACTGTGCATGTGGACGAAGGTCTCTTTGTATGTGACCCAAAGTAGAAAATACATAGACTTTGCTAAACTATCCATCCACTGCTTTTATAGGTGAAAAAACCCCTGAAAGGTGGTATTCTTAAAATCATGAGTTGTGTTCAATCTTTTCAAAACTTTCCTCCTGTTATTATATTCATAGTAGCTCTGTCAATTCAGTATCACCCTTTTGCCCCATAAAGACTAGAAAATGATTATTTATCTATTTTCTAGGCATAACTAATAGTGATCAGTGTTATTTGACCTCTCTTGAAGGTTGATTAATTTGCGCTGTTTGGCAGGTGCAGGCAAAGTACAATTACTTTGGATCAAAATATAAATCCTTAAAAAAAAAGAAAGAGAGTAACATTGAAATTCAATTTTCAGTGTCACTAGGAGGACCTTTATTTAGGTTCATGGAAATAACAAGACATAAGAAAATGTTTACCAAAGAGTACACCAAAAAATCTTCATTGGATTTCCATATCAGAGTGTTGGGAGAATGTTATCTAGGATATTCTGAGTGTTCTCATTTGGAAGGGAGGGAGTTTGGAGAGAAATTAGAACATGGGCTCGGTATGTCTGGTGTTTGCTTATGAAATTCAAGGGACCAGTTCTCTTGAGCCCTCCACATTTTAAACAGAAGCTCTGCAACTGTGGGGAGGGAGGAAATGAGGAAGCAGTGTGCTCAAAGCAGAGATTCAGCAGCAAGAGGAGGGACAGCACACAGGGCTGGGGCAGGTGGAGATGACACAGGTGGGCCGATAGCAAGTGGTGTGGCAGGAGACCCGGCCACACACTGGGCGCAGGCAGCAGCTTGGGCGGCAGCAGCTGGAGATGCGGGAGCAGGTGGGCTGGCAGCTCACAGACTGGCAGCACTGGGGCCTGTAGCAGCTGGAGATGCAGCAAGTAGGCCTGCAGCAGCTGGACCCACAGCTGGAACCACAGCAGGAGGGGCGGCAGCAGCTAGAGATGCAGCAGGTGGGGCGAGGACAGGTGGGCTGGCAGCTCACAGGCTGACAGCACTGGGGCCTGGAGCAGCTGGAGATGCAGCAGGTAGGCCTGCAGCAGCTGGAACCATAGCTGGATCCACAGCAGGAGGGGCGGCAGCAGCTGGAGATGCAGCAGGTGGGCCGAGGACAGGTGGGCTGGCAGCACACAGGCTGGCAGCACTGGGGCCTGCAGCAGCTGGAAACACAGCTGGACCTACAGCAGGAGGGGCGGTAGCAGCTAGAGATGCAGCAGGTGGGGCGAGGGCAGGTGGGCTGGCAGCACTGGGGCCTGCAGCAGCTGGACACACCACAGCTGGGGCGGCAGCAGGTGGTCCTGCAGCAGGTGGTCTGGCAGCAGCTGGGCTGGCAGCAGGTCTCCTGGCAGAGACTTCGGCCACAGCTCTGGTCAGAGCAGACAGAGCCACAACAGGAGCTGACCATGGTGTCAGAGGGTAGAGGTTCTGGGTGAGTTTCCAGGAAAGTGAGTTTCTTGAGACTGAGATTCTCTTCGGTCTGCAGCCGCCTTATATCCTGCTGAATGGTCGCTACCATTACATCATTATTTCCTTGTTATTGTTTAACCACCCCCCCCTTGGAAAACTGATCATTTAATTTCATAATTGTGTGTTTCTCATGCAGTATTCCAAAATGGAGTAAACAATAAGTTTCCTTTTCCTGGTAAGTGCCTGTCTGTTCAATTGGAAGCCCTGTCCCAGTTCTTCCTTTTGGGTGTCACTTTTTCTACTGGTTGGTTCAATGTCTTACAAAGCTTTTATCATATGACTCTAGCATTTTTTTTAAATGTGATATTCTCTCCTATCACTGCTCTCTGAACTTCAGAGAGAAAAAGTTTCATATACAGCTCATGTGTATTCTGTTGTCAAGGGTGAGGGGAAAAAGTGCTGGTCAGGTGAAACACTGGAAAGGAATTAGAAAGAAAGATGTTTGGGGGAAGGATGTCCCACAAATATGGATGAATGTGATCCTAAATGGGCATCTTGGATGGTCAGGAAGATAGGTAGACCACAAGGAAGTTTCAAATTCTGTGTCTGATTCCACTCCACTGTCTCAAGCACTTAGCAGTACTCACAGCTTTTAAATAGAAGAAACACAGTTTTGCTGTATGTCTCCCGGGGTAGGCAACCAGCATGGGTTGTTTTGATTTATCCTTTAGTTGTCAAGCTTGTACACAGGATATTTCATTACAAAAGCATTTGTTATATATAAACATGTTTGGAATGATTAAGCCTTCAAAAATATGGATCCAAGAATTCTGTTGGATAGTAAGAGAACTTGACTATAACTCCTCATCTTTCCCTGTATATGCTTGTATGAGACACATGCCTAAGAAACAGTTTGGCAATAGTTAAAAGAAGGGCTTCCCTGATAGCTCAGCTGGGAAAGAATCTGCCTACAATGTGGGAGACCTCGGTTCGAGCTCTGGCTTGGGAATATCCCCTGGAGAAGAGAAAGCCCCCCCATTCCATTATTCTGACCTGGAGAATTCCATGGACTGTAAATCCATGGGGTCACAAGGAGCTGGACATAACTGAGCGACTTTCATTTTCAAAAGAATGACAGTTATTTTTTTAAAGTCTTTATTTTTTAAATGGAGGATAATTCCTTTACAAGGTTGAGTATGTTTCTGCAGTACAACAATGTGATTCAGGCCTAAGTATATATATGTCCCTTCCTTATGATCTGCCCTCCCACCCCAATCCCATCCCACCCTCCAGGTTGTCGTAGAGCACCGGAATGAGCTTCCTATGTTAATTTTAAATGAAGAACTAAAATCAACATATATAGTATGTGGATAAGTTTCATACATCTTCAATAAAAGGTGAGGAATAATGATATTTATCATTTGTAGAGTATTTACTATGCATTATGCTAAATTTACCAGGCATTGTGCTGAGTTCACTGAGCATTTTGCTGAATATCTTATATTTGTTTTAAATCTTTACTACAGCATATAATATAGTGTGTATTCTTACTCTTTCTTTAAGCAATAGTCCAAAGAAGCATAGAAACATTAAGAAAACCAAAAATAAAATCTTAAGATTAAACAGCATTTAAGCTGTTTTAGGACAGCTGAGGAAGAGGTGGAAAATAAACCTTGGATGCCTTTGCTGAACTGTCTCATCTTCCTGGAATGTTTCATCTTTGTCATTATCTTTGCAAACTACTATTCCTCCGCCAATATCCCAGGTTTCCCCTGAATGCTTCCTCTCAATGATTAACTACCCTGTACCAATACAATTGGTCCCTGCGTTGTGCTCCGAATTCTGTACTCTCTGCTGTATGTACCACAGATACTTTCTGTCATTCCACTATTGCGATGTAGACACCCTGAAGGCATGAACTATAAAATTTAATTTTGTTACTGGGACAGAGCACATTAGTGACAAATGTTTGTCGAGTGAATGAAGGCTTTTGGATGACTTATGGGTAGGTAATGGACCTTTAAAATTATGAATCGTTTGTCTGGTAGTGAAAAGTGGGAGAAACATTCCAAACAAAGGGGTCATGGTTACACTTGAGGAAAACCACATTTGTTTCTGTGGCAAACAGTGTGTCACCTGGTAAAACACATTTATGGAAGTTCAAATTTGATCCGTAAAATGGAACTTATGTATAGGACACCATGGATACATATACTGTTAACAGTGAAACAGATATGCTAGAAAGGAGGTGAACACCAATGTTAAAACTGGTTCTCTTCACTTCCAGACCTCCCAATTTAGCTCTCTTTTGTGAGAATACATCTTCGATAAAAGGTGAGGAATAATGATATTTATCATTTGCTATGCATTATGCTAAATTTACCAGGCATTGTGCTGAGTTCACTGAGCATTTTGCTGAATATCTTACATTTGATTTGAATCTTTACTACAACATATAATACAGTGTGTATTCTTACTCTGGTTTAATATCACCACTGGTTTAATATCAATCAACTAAAAATATTTGCTGAACATCTACTGTCTTTGTTTCAATTGCACCCAAAATAGATACTGAAACATATATGTGAGTGCACTAGTTCACTTGGGGAGCGTGATGGGGATTCTGGGAAGTGTACATGAGGAAATGAGAAAGCAAGGCAGGAATGAAAGAAAAACCCATGAGTCTGTGTCAATAATGCGGTTACCACTGTGGGTAACTAAGGAATGAATCTGGAGACATAACTGAGGCTGGGGGCTATTTAGCCACCATGATTATATGTCTAGAAAATCCCAAAGAATCACCTGAATATTATTCTTAACAGTGCAGTTGGCTGGCTTAGAACATTGATAGATTTCTTATGCAGATAGCAATATTTCTTCATAAAATCTAATGGGAAAAATGTATTCACAGTTCTCAACAATAAATATAAAAAATATGTGAACAAATCTGTCAAGTAATATACTTACCAGGTATTGGAGGAATATTTTAACATTGCCTAAAGGTAAAAAAGTAATATTTGACAGAAAAAAAATGTACAACCAAAGCTGGGTTTCTGCATAGAGACATAGATGTTATACAAATGCATTCAATAAGAATGTATCTCCATTTGTAAAAATTGGTTTTGAATGGGATTGGCAAAGACTAATGATGGGCAACTCACTTTTTTTTTTCTTTTTTTTTTTATATATTTTATTGTATTTATTTATTTTTTTCCCATTTATTTTTATTAGTTGGAGGCTAATTACTTTACATCATTGCAGTGGTTTTTGTCATACATTGAAATGAATTAGCCATGGATTTACATGTATTCCCCATCCCGGTACCCCTTCCCACCTCCCTCTCCGCCCTATCCCTCTGGGTCTTCCCAGTGCACCAAGTCCGAGCACTTGTCTCATGCACCCAACCTGGGCTGGCGATCCGTTTCACCCTAGATAATATACATGTTTCGATGCTGTTCTCTTGAAACATCCCACCCTCGCCTTCTCCCACAGAGTCCACAAGTCTGTTCTATACATCTGAGTCTCTTTTTCTGTTTTGCATATAGGGTTATCGTTACCATCTTTCTAAATCCCATATATATGTGTTAGTATACTGTAATGGTCTTTATCTTTCTGGCTTACTTCGCTCACTTTTGATCACATTCTTTTGTGTTATTAAAATTTTTTTAAAAAGCATGTGTTATGTATAAGTGACATAAAATCCGTAGAAAAGAATAATTGTATTTTAGATAAAATTCACAGTTCTCTATACAGATTCAGTTCCATAAGTTTTCTCAGATTATGATTAAGCTTCTACTTACTATACACTAAAAGATGAAAACTACATTTCAGTCAGTCTTTTCAGCTCAAAAATTAACTATTGTGAATTGCACATTGCTTTTGGGGACTGTTTGAGTTCCCTAGGAAGCCGATCCAGAGATGAAAATTAGCAAACAAGATATTTATCGAGAAGTGTATTTGGGATGAGTACTGCTAGGAGGAAAGGGAAGGGAAGTGAGCTGAAGTGGACAGTTGGAGAAATCAGCTGCGATAGAGTTTCAGTGGACATCTAAGCATGGCACTGGAATGGTCCCTTTTTACTCTTGGACATAAAATCACAGTCACCAGCAAAACCTAGGAACTGTTACCAGGTCTGTTTCATTCATTTATATTACTTGCCTGGCACTGAAGGTAGCCCCACTATAAGTCAGAATAAACTGAATACTCTGAATAGTAATAATAATAATAAACCAAATCTACTGAAGCTCTGGCTACCAGAATAAAGCAGAACTCCACTGTATGTGTCGGGGCTTCCATGGTGGCTCAGAAGATTAAGAATCTGCCCGCAGTGCAGGAGACCTGGGTTTCATCACTGGGGCAGAAAGATCCTCTGGAGAACAGAATGGCAATCCACTCCAGTATTCTTGCCTGCAGAATTCCGTGGACAGAGCAGCCTGCTGGGCTACAATCCACGGAGACGCATAGGGTTGGACACAGCTGAGTGACTAACATTTTCACTGTGTATGTGGATGAAGGACTCATTGCATGTCACCCGAAGTAGAAAATGCATGGACTTTACTAAACTGTCTATGTGATACTTTTGTTTGTTTGTTTGTTATGTTGGTGATACTTTTATAGGTGAAAAATCCCTGAAAGCTGGTGCTGTTAAAAATCGTGATTTGCGTTCAATATTTCCAAATCTTTCTTCCTGTTATTATGTTCATAGATGCTCTATCACTTCAGTTTCACCCCTTTTCCCCATGAACTAGAAAATGACTAATTTATCTATTTTCTAGACATGACTAGGCAGTGGTCAATGTCATTTGACCACTCTTGAAGGTTGATTATTTGTGCTGTTTGGCAGGTGCAGGCAAAATTGAATTACTTTGGATCAATATGTAAATCCTTTAAAAAAAGAAAGAGTAACAATCAGATTCAATGTTCAGTGCCAGTAGGAAGACGTTTATTTAGGTTCTTGGAAATAACGAGACATAACAAAATCTTTACCAAAGAGTACAGCAAAAATTCTTCATTGGATTTCCATATCAGAGAGATAAAAATCAAGTGGTCTCACTAGTGATGGAGACAAATTCCTTAAGCATGAAAAACGAATGTTCTGAAGAAGTAGGGAAGAGTGTTGGGAGATTGTAACTTTTGGGTAGATTCTGAGTGATTTCATTTAGAAGAGAGGGAGTTTGGAGAGAAGTTAGATTGAGGGCTCAGTGTGTCTGGTGTTTGCTTATGAAATTCAATGGACTGGTTCTCTTGAACCCTCCACATTTTAAAAAGAAGCTCTGCAACTGTGGGGAGGGAGGAAATGAGGAAGCAGTGTGCTCAAAGCAGAGATTCAGCAGCAAGAGGAGGGGCAGCACACGGGGCGGGGGCAGGTGGAGATGACACAGGTGGGCCGATAGCAAGTGGTGTGGCAGGAGACCCGGCCACACACTGGGCGCAGGCAGCAGCTCGGGCGGCAGCAGCTGGAGATGCGGGAGCAGGTGGGCTGGCAGCTCACAGACTGGCAGCACTGGGGCCTGTAGCAGCTGGAGATGCAGCAGGTAGGCCTGCAGCAGCTGGAACCATAGCTGGATCCACAGCAAGAGGGGCGACAGCAGCTAGAGATGCAGCAGGTGGGGCGAGGACAGGTGGGCTGGCAGCACACAGGCTGGCAGCACTGGGGCCTGCAGCAGCTGGAGATGCAGCAAGTAGGCCTGTAGCAGCTGGAAACACAGCTGGACCTACAGCAGGAGGGGCGGTAGCAGCTAGAGATGCAGCAAGTGGGACGAGGGCAGGTGGGCTGGCAGCAGACGGGGCTGCAGCAGCTGGGCACACTGCAGCTGGGGCGGCAGCAGGTGGTCCTGTAGCAGGTGGTCTGGCAGCAGCTGGGCTGGCAGCAGGTCTCCTGGCAGAGACTTCGGCCACAGCTCTGGTCAGAGCAGACGGAGCCACAGCAGGAGCTGACCATGGTGTCAGAGGGTGGAGGTCTGGGTGAGTTTCCAGGAAAGTGAGCTTCTTGAATCTGAGAGTCTTCTCGGCCCACAGCCCCCTTTATACCCTGCTGAAGACCTGCTATCATGACATCATTACTTCCTTGTTATTGTTTACCCTGTTAGGAAAATTGATCATTTAATTACATAATGTGTGTTTCTCATTCAGTATTAGAAAATGGAGGAAATAATACCTTTCCTTTTCCTGGTAAGTGCCTGTGTGTCCAATTGAAAGCCCTGTCCCAGTTCTTCCCTTTTGGGTGTCACCTTTGCTCCTGGTGGGTTCAATGTCTTACAAAACATTAGTCATATGACCTAACACTTATCCCTCGAATGTGATATTCTCTCCTATCACTGCTCTCTGAACTTCGGAGAGAAAATTTTCTTATATGGCTCATGTGTATTTTGTTGTCAAGGGTGAGGGGAACAAGCGCTGGTGAGGTTAAACACTGGAGACGAATTTGTAAACAAGATGTTTTGGGGGATGATGTCCCACAAATAATATGGATAAATGTGATCCTATGTTGGCCTCTTGGATGGTCAGGAAGATAGACCACGAGGAAGTTACAAATTCTGTGTCTGATTTCACTCCAGTGTCTCAAGCACTTAGCTGTACTCACAGCTTTTAAATAGAAGAAACACATTTTTGCTCTATGCCTCTCAGGCTAGGCAACACGAATGGTATATTTTGATTTATCTCTTAGTTGTCAGAATAGTACCTAGGATATTTCATTACAAAAGCATTCGTTATATATAAAAATGTTTGAAATTAATAAGGGTTCAACTGAGCGAAGGCATTCTGTTGGGTAGTAAGAGAACTTGACATATAACTCCTCATCTTCCTGTAGATGCTTGAATGAGACACATGCCTAAGAAACAGTTTGGCAATAGTTAAAAGAGGGGCTTCCCCGATAGCTCAGCTGGGAAAGAATCCACCTGCAATGTGGAAGACCTGGGTTCGATCCCTGGGTTGGGAAGGTCCCTTGGAGAAGGGAACAGCCCCCCATTCCAGTATTCTGACCTGGAGAATTCCATGGACTGTATAGCCCATTGGCTCGCAAAAGCTGGACAGGAATGAGCAACTTTCTTTTTTTTTTTCCATTTATTTTTATTAGTTGGAGGCTAATTACTTTACAATATTATAGTGGTTTTTGCCATACATTAACATGAATCAGCCGTGGATTTACATGTGTTCCCCTTACCAATCCCCCCTCCCGCCTCCCTCTCCATCCCATGCCTCTGGGTCTTCCCACTGCACCAGCCCTGAGCACTTGTCTCATGCATCCAACATGGGCTGGTGATGGCAGTTATTTTTAAGTCTTTATTTTTTTGGAGGATAATTCTTTTACAAGGTTGTGTAGCTTTCTGCAGTACAACAATGTGATTCAGCCTTGACTATATATATATCCCCTCTCTCTGATCTGCCTTCCCACCCCAATCCCATCTCACCCCTCTAGGTTGTCTTAGAGCACCGGACTGAGCTTCCTATGCTATTTTTAAATGAAGAACTAAAATCAACATATATAATATGTGGATAAGTTTCATACATCTTCGGTAAAAGGCAAAGAATAATGATACATATCATTTCTAGAGCATTTACTATGCACTATGCTAAATTTACCAGGCACTGTGCTGAGTTGACTGAGCATTGTGGTGAATATCTTTTATTTGTATTGAATCTTTAATGCAACATATAATATAGTGTGTATTCTTACTACTTCTTTAAGAAATAGGCCAAGAAGCATAGAAACATTAAGAGGAAAAAAAATTCTGTAAGATTAAACAGAAGTCAAGCTGTTTTGGGACAGCTGAGGAAGAGGTGGAAAATAAAGCTTGCAAACCTTTGCTAAAGCTGTTTCATCTTCCTGGAATGTTTCATCTTTGTCATTATCTCTGCATACTCCTATTCCTGTGTCAAAACCCCAGTGCTTCCTCGAAATGATTAACTACCCTGTTCAAATATAATTTGTCCCTGCTTTGTGCTCTGAATTTTGCACTCTCTGCAATGCAGACACTCTGAGGGCATGAACTATAAAATTTAATTTTGTTACTGGGACAGAGGACATTAGTGACAAATGTTTGTCGAGTGAATGAAGGCTTTCGATGACTTAAAGTTATGTCATGTTCCTTTAAAGAATATGTATGTTTGACTGGCAGAGAAAAGTGGGAGAAACATTCCAAACAAAGGATCATGGTTACACTTGAGGAAAACCACATTCGTTTATGTGAAAAGCAACATGTCACTTGATAAAACACATTTGTGGAAGTTCAAATTTGATTCATAGAATGGAACTTACTTATAGGATACCATGGATACATGTGGTATAGTAACAAAGAAACAGATATGATAGAGACAAGGTGAACACAAGTGTTGACACTGGTTCTCTGCACTTCCAGATATCACAATTTAGATCTCTTTTATGAGGAATTAACCACCATCACTGGTTTAATATCAATCAGCTAAAAATATTTGCTGAACATCTATTGTCTTTGTTTGAATTTCACCCAAAGTTGATATTGAGACAAAAATGTGAGTGCAAGTAGTTCACTTTGCAGAGCGATTCTGGGAAGTACAGATGAAGAAGTGGAAACGAAGGCAGGAAAGAAAGAAAAACCTAAACATCTAAGTTAGTAATGTGGTTACCACTGTGGGTAACTGGGGAATGAATCTGAGGACATCCTGAGGCTGGGGCTCTTAGTCACCATGATTGTATGTCAGGAAATCCTGCAGAATCACCTGAATATTATTTTTAACAGTGTATTTGGCTGATATAGATAACTGGTGGATTTCCTATGCACTTAGAAAGATTTCTTCATAAAATGTAATGGGAAAAATGAATTCACAGATCTGAGCAATAAATATAAAAATATGTAAACAAATCTGTGAAATAATATACTTATCTGGCATATATATATACTTAATGGAGGAATGTATTCACATTTCAAGAAGGTTAAAAAAATAATATTTGAATAAACACCAGAACAAAAAAATGTACAACTAAAGCTGGGTTAATGAATAAAGACATAAATGTTATACAAATGCATTCAGTAAGAATAATTCTCTATGAAAATAGGTTTTGAATGGGATTGGCAAAGACTAATAACAGGAAACTCACTTCTGAACACATTCTTTTGTGTTATTTAAAATTTTAATTAAAGCAGATATTGGTGTATAACTGACATAAAATCCTTAGAAAAGAATAAATGTACTTTAGATAAAATTCACTGTTCTCTATACAGATTCAGTTCCATAAGTTTACCACATTTGTGTTTAAGCTCCAACTTATTATACACTAAAAGATGAAAACTACCTTTCAGTCAGTCTTTCCAGCTCTCAGATTAACTGTTGTGAATTACATATTGCTTTTGGGGACTGTTTGAGTTCCCTAGGAAGCAGATCCAGAGATGAAAATTAGCAAACAGGATGTTTATTGAGAAGTGTTCTTGGATTAGCACTTCTAGAAGGAAAGGGAAGAGAAGTGAGCAGAAGTGGACAGTTGGAGAAATCAAGCTGGGATAGAGTTTCAGTGGACATCTAAGCATGGCACTGGAAAGCTCCCTTTTACTCTTGGACGTAAAATCACAGTCACCAGCAAAACCTAGGAACTGTTACCAGGTCTGTTTCATTGCTTTATATCACCTGCCTGGCGCTGAAGGTAGCCCCACTATAAGGCAGAATAAACTGAATATTCTGAAGAATAATAACAAACCAAATCTACTGAAGCTCTGGCTACAAGAAGAAAGCAGAACTCCAGTGAATATGTAGGGGCTTCCATGGGGGCTCAGAAGATAAAGAATCTGCCCCCAATGCAGGAGACCTGGGTTTGGTCCTTGGGGCAGAAAATCCCCGGAGAACAGAATGGCAACCCACTCCAGGATTCTTGACAGCAGAATTTCATGGACAGAGGAACTTGATGGGCTACAGTCTATGGGGTTGCAAAGAGTTGGATACGGTTGAGTGACTAACATTTTCACTGTGTATGTGGATGGAGGACTCATTGCACGTGACCCTAAGTAGAAAATGCATCAGTTCAGTTCAGTCGCTCAGTCGTGTCCGACTCTTTGCAACCCCATGAGGCGCAGCACGCCAGGCCTCCCTGTCCATCACCAACTCCCAGAGTCCACTCAAACTCATGTCCATTGAGTCAGTGATACCATACAGCCATCTCATCCTCTGTTGTCCCCTTCTCCTCCTGCCCCCAATCCCTCCCAGCATCAGGGTCTTTTCCAATGAATCAACTCTTCGCATAAGGTGGCCAAAGTACTGGAGTTTCAGCTTCAGCATCAGTCCTTCCAATGAACTCCCAGGACTGATCTCCTTTAGGATGGACTGGTTGGATCTCCTTGCCATTGCAAGGGACTCTCAAGAGTGTTCTGCAGCACCATTTTTCAAAAGAATCAATTTTTTGGCGCTCAGCTTTCTACACAGTCCAACTCTCACATCCATACATGACCACTGGAAAAACCATAGCCTTGACCAGATGGACCTTTGTTGGCAAAGTAATGTCTCTGCTTTTAAATATGCTATCCAGGTTGGTCATAACTTGCCTTCCAAGGAGTAAGCGTCTTTTAATTTCATGGCTGCAGTCACCATCTGCAGTGATTTTGGAGCCCCCCAAAATAAAGTCTGACACTGTTTCCACTGTTTCCTCATTTGTTTCCCATGAGGTGATGGGACCAAATGCCATGATCTTATTTTTCTGAATGTTAAGCTTTAAGCCAACTTATTCACTCTCCTCTTTCACTTTCATTAAGAGGATTTTTAGTCCTCTTCACTCTCTGCCATAAGGGTGGTGTCATCTGCATATCTGAGGTTATTGATATTTCTCCCAGCAATCTTGATTCCAGCTTGTGCTTCATCCAGCCCAGCATTTCTCATGATGTACTCTGCATATAAGTTAAATAAGCAGGGTGACAATATACAGCCTTGACGTACTCCTTTTCCTATTTGGAACCACTCTGTTGTTCCATGTCCAGTTCTAACTGTTGCCTCCTGAACTGCATACAGGTTTCTCAAGAGGCAGGTAAGGTGGTCTGGTATTCCCATCTCTTTCAGAATTTTGCACAGTTTATTGTGATCCACACAGTCTAAGGTTTTCAAGTAGTCAATAAAGCAGAAATAGACGATTTTTTGGAACTCTCCTGCTTTTTCGATGATCCAGCAGATATTGGCAATTTGATCTCTGGTTCCTCTGCCTTTTCTTAAATCAGCTTAAACATCTGGAAGTTCTCAGTTCACGTTTTGCTGAAGCCTGGCTTGGAGAATTTTGAGCATTACTTTACTAGCGTGTGAGATGAGTGCAATTGTGCAGTAGTTTGAGCATTCTTTGGGATTGCCTTTCTTAGGGATTGGAATGAAAACGGAACTTTTCCAGTCCTGTGGCCACCGCTGAGTTTTCCAAATTTGCTGCATATTGAGTTCAGCACTTTCATAGCATCATCTTCCAGGATTTGAAATAGCTTAACTGGAATTCCATCACCTCTGCTAGCTTTGTTTGTAGTGATACTTCCTAAGGCCCACTTGACTTCACATTCCAGGATGTCTGGCTCTAGGTGAGTGATCACACCATTGTGATTATCTGGGTCATGAAGATCTTTTTTGTACAGTTCCTCTGTGTATCCTTGCCACCTCGTCTTAATATCTTTTGCTTCTGTTAGGTCCATACCATTTCTGTCCTTTTTTGAACTCATCTTTGCGTGAAATGTTCCCTTGGTATCTCTAATTTTCTTGAAGAGATCTCTGGTCTTTCCCATTCTGTTGTTTTCCTCTATTTCTTTGCATTGATAGCTGAAGAAGGCTTTCTTATCTCTCCTTGCTATTCTTTGGAACTCTGCATTCAAATGGGAATATCTTTCCTTTTCTCCTTTGCTTTTCACTTCTCTTCGATTCACAGCTATTTGTAAGGCCTCCTTAGACGACCATTTTGCCTTTTTGCATTTCTTTTCCATGGGATGGTCTTGATCCCTGTATCCTGTACAATGTCATGAACCTCCATCCATAGTTCATCAGGCTCTCTGTCTATCAGATCTAGTCCCTTAAATCTATTTCTCACTTCCACTGTATAGTCATAAGGGATTTGATTAATGTCATACTTGAATGGTCTAGTGGTTATCCCTACTTTCTTCAATTTCAATCTGAATTTGGCAATAAGGAGTTCATGATCTGAGCCACAGTCAGCTCCCGGTCTTGTTTTTGCTGACTGTATAGAACTTCTCCATCTTTGGCTGCAAAGAATATAATCAATCTGATTTTGGTGTTGACCATCTGATGTCCATGTGTAGAGTCTGCTGTTGTGTTGTTGGAAGAGGGTGTTTGCTATGACCAGTGCGTTCTCTTGGCAAGACTTTACTAAACTATGTGATGATTTTATAGGTGAAAAAAACCCTGAAAGGTGGTGTTGTTAAAAATCATGAATTGTGTTAAATCTTTCCAAATCTTTTCTCCTGTTATTATATTCATAGATGCCCTATCAGTTCAGTTTCACCCTTTTCCCCCATAAAGACTAGAAAATGACTAATTTATCTATTTTCTAGACATGACTAGGCAGTGGTCAATGTCTTCTGACCTCTCTTGAAGGTCGATTAATGTGTGCTGTTTGGCAGGTGCAGGCAAAATTGAATTACTTTGGATCAATATGTAAATCCTTTAAAAAAAGAAAGAGAGTAACAATCAGATTCAATTTTCAGTGCCAGTAGGAAGACGTTTATTTAGGTTCTTGGAAATAACGAAACATAACAAAATCTTTACCAAAGAGAACAGCAAAAAAATCTTCATTGGATTTCCATATCGGAGAGATAAAAATCAAGTGGTCTCACTAGTGATGGAGACAAATTCCTTAAGCATGAAAAACGAATGTCCTGAAGAAGCAGGGAAGAGTGTTGGGAGATTGTAATTTTGGGGTAGATTCTGAGTGATCTCATTTAGAAGAGAGGGAGTTTGGAGAGAAGTTAGATTGAGGGCTCAGTGTGTCTGGTGTTTGCTTATGAAATTCAATGGACTGGTTCTCTTGAACCCTCCACATTTTAAAAAGAAGCTCTGCAACTGTGGGGAGGGAGGAAATGAGGAAGCAGTGTGCTCAAAGCAGAGATTCAGCAGCAAGAGGAGGGGCAGCACACGGGGCGGGGGCAGGTGGAGATGACACAGGTGGGCCGATAGCAAGTGGTGTGGCAGGAGACCCGGCCACACACTGGGCGCAGGCAGCAGCTCGGGCGGCAGCAGCTGGAGATGCGGGAGCAAGTGGGCTGGCAGCTCACAGACTGGCAACAGCGGGGCCTGCAGCAGCTGGAGATGCAGCAGGTAGGCCTGCAGCAGCTGGACCCACAGCTGGACCCACAGCAAGAAGGGCGGCAGCAGCTAGAGATGCAGCAGGTGGGACGAGGACAGGTGGGCTGGCAGCACAGAAGCTGGCAGCTCTGGGGCCTGCAGCAGCTGGAGATGCAGCAAGTAGGCCTGTAGCAGCTGGAAACACAGCAGGAGGGGCGGCAGCAGCTAGAGATGCAGCAGGTGGGACGAGGGCAGGTGGGCTGGCAGCGGACGGGGCTGCAGCAGCTGGACACACTGCAGCTGGGGCGGCAGCAGGTGGTCCTGCAGCAGGTGGTCTGGCAGCAGCTGGGCTGGCAGCAGGTCTGCACGCAGAGACTTCGGCCACAGCTCTGGTCAGAGCAGACGGAGCCACAGCAGGAGCTGACCATGGTGTCAGAGGGTGGAGGTCTGGGTGAGTTTCCAGGAAAGTGAGTTTCTTGAATCTGAGAGTCTTCTCGGCCCACAGCCCCCTTTATACCCTGCTGAAGAGCTGCTATCATTACATCATTATTTCCTTGTTGTTGTTTACCCTGTTAGGAAAATTGATCATTTAATTACATAATGTGTGTTTCTCATTCACTATTAGAAAATGGAGGAAATAATACCTTTCCTTTTCCTGGTAAGCGCCTATGTGTCCAATTGAAAGTCCTGTCTCTGTTCTTCCATAGTAGGTGTCACTGTTGCTCTTGGTGGGTTCAATGTCTTACAAAGCATTAGTCATATGACTCTAACTCTTTTTTTTTTAATGTGATATTCTCTCCTCTCACTACTCTCTGAACTACAGAGAGAAAAATTTCTTATACGGCTCATGTATATTTTCTTGTCAAGGGTGAGGGTAACAAGTGGTGGTCAGGTGAAACACTGGAAATGAATTAGAAAGAAAGATGTTTGGAGGGGTGATGTTTCACAAATAATATGGATGATTGATATCCTATGTAGGCATTTTGGATGGTCAGTAAGATAAGTAGACCGCAAGGAACTTTCAAATTCTGTGCTTGATTTCACTCCACTGTCTCAAGCACTTAGCAATACTCACAACCTTTAAATAGAAGAAACGTATTTTTGCTGTATGTCTCCCAGGCTAGGCAACAAGAATGGGATAGTTTGATTTATCTTTTATTTGTCAAACTTGTACACAGGATATTTCATTACAAAAGCATTCATTAATTACAAACATGTTCGAAGTTATTAAGCCCTCAATAATATGGATCCAAGACATTCTGTTGGGTAGCAAGGGACCTTGACAGATTACTCCTCATCCTTTTCCTGTAGATACTTGAATGAGACACATGCATAGGAAACAGTTTGGCAAAAGCTAAAAGAAGGGCTTCCCTGATAGCTCAGCTGGAAAAGAATCCGCCTGCAATGTGGAAGACCTGGGTTCGATCTCGGTTGGGAAGATTCCCTGGAGAAGGAAACGGCTACCCATTCCAGTATTCTGACCTGGAGAATTCCATGGACTGTATAGTCTATGGGGTCACAAAGAGCTGGACTCGACTGAGCGACTTTCATTTTCAAAAGAATGACAGTTATTTTTTTAAGTCTTTATTTTTAAATGGAGAATAATTCCTTTTCAAGGTTGTGTAGCTTTCTTCAGTACAACAATGTGATTGAGCCATAATTATATATATGTCCCCTCCTTCTGATCTGCCCTCTCACCCCAATTCCATCCCACCCCTCTAGGTTGTCATAGAGCACCAGACTGAGCTTCCTATGTTATTTTTAACTGAAGAACTGAAATCAACATATACAGTATGTGGACAAGTTCCATACGTCTTCAATAAAAGTGAGGGATAATGATATTTATCATTCCTAGAATCTTTACTGTGCATTATGCTAAATTCACTAGTCACTGTGCTGAGTTCACTAAGCATTGTGCTGAATATCTTATATTTGTTTTGAATCTTTAATACAGCATATAATATAGTTTGTGTTCTTACTAGTTCTTTAAGCAATAGGGAAAGAAGCATAGAAAGGTTAAGAGGAAAAAGAAAGAAGACTTGTGTAAGATTAAACATAAGTTAAGCTCTTTTAGGACAGCTGAGGAAGAGGTGAAAAAATGAAGCTTGCATGCCTTTGCTGAAGCTGTTTCATCTTCCTGGAATGTTTCATCTTTGTCGTTATCCCTGCAAACTCCTATTCCTCTGTCAATGGGAAACCCCAGGTTTTCCATGAATGCTTCCTCATAATGATTAACTACCCTGTACCAATACAATCTGTCCCTGCGTTGTGCTCCAAATTTTGCACTCTCTGCTATACCACACTTACTTTCTGTCATTCCACTACTGTGATGCAGACACCATGAAGGCGTGACCTATACAGTTTAATTTTGTTACTGAGACAGAGCACATTAGTGACAAATGTTTGTCGAGTGAATGAAGACTCTTGGATGACTTATGGGTATGTAATGATCCTTTTAAAAATATGTCAGTTTTGCCTGGTGGAGAAAAGTGGGAGAAACATTCCAAACAAAGGGATCATGGTTATGCTTGAGGAAAACCACATTTGTTTATGTGGCAAGCAACATGTCACCTGATATAACACATTTGTGGAAGTTCAGATTTGATGCATAGAATGGAATTTACTTATAGGATGCCATGGACACATATACTTTATAAACATAGAAATAGATATGATAGAAAAGACGTGAACACAAGTGTGAGACTGGTTCTCTTCATTTCTGGACATCCCAAGTTAGCTCTCTTTTGTGAGAAGTAACCACCATCACTGGTTTAATGTTAATCAGCTAAAAATATTGGCTGAACATCCATTCTCTTTGTTTGAATTGCACCCAAAGTAGATATTGAGACAAAGATGTGAGTGCAAATAGTTCACTTTGGAGGGTATTCTGGGAAGTACACATGAGGAAGTGGGAAAACAAGGCAGCAATGAAAGAAAAGTCTGAGTTAATTATGCAGTTACTACCTGAGTATCTGAGGAATGAATATGGGGACATACTTGAGGCTAGGCGATATTAGCCACCATGATTGTATGTGTAGAAAATCCCACAGAATCAACTGAATATTATTGTTAACAGTGAAGTTGGCTGGCTTAGAAAACTGATGGATTTCCTATGCATTTAGCAATATTTCTTCATAAAATGTAATGGGAAACATGTATTCACAGCCCTTAACAAGAAATATAAAAAGTACATAAACAAATCTGTCAAATAATATACTCACCTGATGTTGGAGGAATGTATTAACATTGCCTGAAGGCCAAAAATTATTATTTAAATAAACATCAGAACAAAATAATGTTCAACAAAAGCTGGTTTAGTGAATAAACACATAAATATCATACAAATGCACTCAGTAAGAATGTATCTCTGTGGATGAAACTGGAACCCATTATACAGAGCGAAGTAAGCCAGAAAGATAAAGACCATTACAGTATACTAACACATATATATGGAATTTAGAAAGATGGTAACGATAACCCTATATGCAAAACAGAAAAAGAGACTCCGATGTATAGAACAGACTTGTGGACTCTGGGAGAAGGCGAGGGTGGGATCTTTCAAGAGAACAGCATCGAAACATGTATATTATCTAGGGTGAAACAGATCACCAGCCCAGGTTGGGTGCATGAGACAAGTGCTCGGGCCTGGTGCACTGGGAAGACCCAGAGGGATCAGGTGGAGAGGGAGGTGGGATGGGGGACCAGGATGGGGAATACATGTAAATCCATGGCTAATTCATTTCGATGTATGACAAAAACCACTGCAATGATGTAAAGTAATTAGCCTCCAACTAATAAAAATAAATGGAAAAAAAAAAAGAATGTATCTCTGTAAAAATAGGTTTTGAATGGGACTGGCAAAGACTATTGATAGGAAGCTCACTTTTGACCACATTCTTTTGTGTTATTTAGATTTTTTAAAAAAGCATGTGTTTGTGTATAAGTGACATAAAGCCCTTAGAAAAGAATAAAAATACTTTATATAAAATTCACAGTTCTCTCTACAGATTCATTTCCATAAGTTTTCTACATTTATGTTTAAGCTCCTACTTATTTTACACTAAAAGATGAAAACTACATTATAGGCAGTCTTTCCAGCTCTCAGATTAACTGTTGTGATTTACAAATTGCTTTTGGGGACTGTTTGAGTTCCCTAGGAAGCAGACCCAGAGTTGAAAATTAGCAAACAGGATGTTTATTGAGAAGTGCTCTTGGCATTTGTACATCTAGAAGGAAAGGGAAAGGAAGTGAGCAGAAGTGGACAGTTGGAGAAATCAAGCTGGGATAGAGTTTCAGTGGACATCTAAACATGGCACTAGAAAGGTCCCTTTTTGTCTTGAACATAAAATCACAGTCTCTAGGAATACCTAGGAACTGTCACAGGTCTGTTTCAATCATTTATATCACCTGCCTGGCACTGAAGGTAGCCCCTCTATAAGACAGAATGAACTGAATATTCTGAAGAATAATAATGTTAAACGAAATGTACTGAAACTCTGGCTACCAGAATAAAGCAGAACTTCACTGTATATGTAGGGGCTTCGATGGTGACTCAGAAGATAAAGAATCTGCCCACAATGCAGGAGACCTAGGTTTGGTCCTTCGGGCAGAAGATCCCCAGAGAATGGAATGGCAACCCACTCCAGTATTCTTGCATGCAGAATTCCATGGACAGAGCAACCTGGTGGGCTACAATCCATGGGGTTGCAAAGAGTTGGACACAGCTGAGTGACTAACATTTTCACTGTGTATGTGTACGAAGGACTCATGGCATGTGACCTGAAGCAGAAAATACATAAGACTTTGCTAAACTAACTATCCACTGCTTTTATAGGTGAAGAAACCCTGAAAGGTGGTGGCGTTAAAAATCATGAATTGTGTTAAATATTTTCAAAACTTTCCTCCTGTTATTATATTCATAGATGCTCTATCACTTCAGTTTCATTCCTTTCCCCAGTAACGAGTAGAAAATGATTAATTTATCTGTTTTCTAGACACAAGTATTCAATGATCAATGTCATGTGACCTCTCTTTAAGGTTGATTAATTAGTGCTGTTTGGCACGTGCAGGTAAAATACAATTATTTGATTGAAATGTAAATCCTTAAAAAAAGAGCAGAGTAACAATCAGATTCAATTCTCAGTGCAAGTAGGAGGACATTTATTTTGGTTCAAGGAAATAAGAAGACATAAGAAAATCTTTAACAAAGAGTACTCAAAAAGTCTTCACTGGAATTCTATGTCAGAGAGATAAAAATCAGTGACCCCAGAAGTGATGTGCTGAAGAAAAAGCGAGGGGTGTTGGGAGAATGTAATTTCCTGTGAGATTCTGAGTGATCTCATTTAGAAGGGAGGGAGTTTGGACAGAAGTTAGAACGTGGGTTTGGATGTCTGGTGTTTGCTTATGAAATGCAAGAGACCAGTTCTCTTGAACCCTCCACATGTTAAAAAGTAACTCTCCAACTGTGGGGAGGGAGGAAATGAGAAAGCAGTGTGTTCAAAGCAGAGATTCAGCAGCAAGAGGAGGGACAGCACACAGGGCGGGGGCAGGTGGAGATGACACAGGTGGGCCGATAGCAAGTGGTGTGGCAGGAGACCCGGCCACACACTGGGCGCAGGCAGCAGCTCGGGCGGCAGCAGCTCGGGCGGCAGCAGCTGGAGCCACAGCAAGAGGGGCGGCAGCAGCTGGAGATGCGGGAGCAGGTGGGCTGGCAGCACACAGGCTGGCAGCACTGGGGCCTGTAGCAGCTGGAGATGCAGCAGGTAGGCCTGCAGCAGCTGGAGCCACAGCTGGACCCGCAGCAAGAGGGGCGGCAGCAGCTGGAGATGCAGCAGGTGGGACGAGGACAGGTGGGCTGGCAGCACACAGGCTGGCAGCACTGGGGCCTGCAGCAGCTGGAGATGCAGCAAGTAGGCCTGCAGCAGCTGGAACCACAGCTGGACCTACAGCAGGAGGGGCGGCAGCAGCTAGAGATGCAGCAGGTGGGGCGAGGGCAGGTGGGCTGGCAGCAGACCGGCCGGCAGCAGCTGGGCACACTGCAGCTGGGGCGGCAGCAGGTGGTCCTGCAGCAGGTGGTCTGGCAGCAGCTGGGCTGGCAGCAGGTCTCCTGGCAGAGACTTCGGCCATAGCTCTGGTCAGAACAGATGGATCCACAACAGGAGCTGACCATGGTGTCAGAGGGTGGAGGTTCTCGGTGAGTTTCCAAGAAAGTGAGCTTCTTGAGTTTGAGTGTCTCCTTGGCCTACAGCCCCCTTTATACCCTGCTGAAGGGCTGCTATCATTACACTGTTATTTCCTTGTTATTGTTTACCCTCTGAGGATAATTGATCATTTAATTACATAATTTTGTGTTTATCATGCAATATTACAAATTGGAGAAAATAACACTTTTCCTTTTCCTGATATGCTTGTGTGTGTCCAATTGATAGCGATATCCCAATTCTTCTTTCGTGGGCATCACTTTTGCTCCTGGGGTGTTCAATGTCTTAACAAAGCATTAATCATGTGACTCTAACATTTTTTTTGAATGTGATATTCTCTCCTATCACTGCTGTCTGAACATCAGAGAGAAAAAGTTTCTTATACGGCTCATGTATATTTTGGTGTCAAGGGTGAGGGGAACATGTGCTGATAAGGTGAAGCACTGGCAAGGAAACAGAAAGAAAGATGTTTGTGGGGAGGTTGTCCCACAAATAATATGGATGATTGTAATACTCTGTAGGCATCTTGATGGTCAGGAAGATTGTTAGACCACAAGGAAATTTAAAATTCTGTGTCTGTTTGGGCTCTTCTGTCAGAAGCACTTAACAATAGTCACAACTTTTAAGTACAAGAAACACATTTTTCCTGTGTTCATCCCAACATGAATGGGATGCTTTGATTTATCTTTTTTTCAGACTTGTACACAGGATATTTCATTACAAAAGCATTCATTATATATAAACATGTTTGGAATTATTAAGTTTTCAAAAATATGGATCCAAGACATTCTGTTGGGTTACTAGTAAGAGAACTTGACAGATAACTCCTCATCTTTTTCCTGTAGATACTTGAATGAGACAAATGCATAAGAAACAGTTTGACAATAGCTAAAAGAAGGGCTTCCCTGATAGCTCAGCTGGTAAAGAATCTGCCTACAATGTTGGAGACCTGGGATCAATCCCTGGTTTGGGAAGATCCCCTGAAAAAGGGAACCACTACCCATTCCAGTATTCTGACCTAGAGTGTATAGTCCATGGGGTTGCAAAGAGCTGAACATGAGTGAGCGACTTTGATTTTCAAGAGAATGACAGTTAATTTTTTAAGTCTTAATTTTTTAATTGGAGGATAATTCCTTTACAAGGTTGTATAACTTTCTGCAGTTCAACAATATGATTCAGCCATAAGTATATGTATGTGCTCTCTGTCTGATCTGCCCTCCACCCCAATCCCATCCCACCCCTCTAGGTTGTCACAGAGCACCAGACTGAGCTTCATATGTTATTTTTAACTAAGTAACTAGAATCAGCATATATAGTACATGGATATGTTTCACACATCTTCAATAAAAGGTGAGGAATAATGATATTTATCATTTTGCATATTTATCATAATGCATATCAATATGCATTATGCTAAATTCACTAGGCACTGTGCTGAGTTCACTGAGCATTGTGCTGAATATCTTATATTTGTTTTCAGTCTTTAATACAGCATATAATACAGTGTATATTCTTAATACTTCTTTAAGCAATAGGCCAAGGAAGCATAGAACCGTTGAGGAAAGAAGAAAAAAAAACTTGTGTAAGATTAAACATAAGTTAAGCTGTTTTAGGACAGCTGAGGAAGAGATGAAAAATAAAGCTTGCATGCCTTTGCGGAAGCTGTTTCATCTTCCTGGAATGTTTCATCTTTATCGTTATCTTTGCAAACTACTATTCCTCTGTCAGTACCCCAGGTTTCCCCTGAATGCTTCCCCCCAATGATTAACTACCCCGTTCAAATACAATTTGTCTCTGCATTGTGCTCTGAATTCTGCACTCTCTGCTGTAGCACAGTTACTTTCTGTCATTCCATACTGCGATGCAGACACTGTGAAGGAATGAAGTATAAAATTTAATTTTGTTACTGAGACAGAGCACATTAGTGACAAATGTTTGTTGAGTGAATGAAGGCTCTTGGATGACTTACACGTATGTAATGGTCCTTTAAAAATATGTCTGTTTTGTCTGTTGGAGAAAAGTGGGAGAAACATTCCAAACAGAGGGATCATGGTTACACTTGAGGAAAACCACATTTGTTTATGTGGCAAGCAACATGTCAGCTGATAAAACGCATTTGTGGAAGTTCAAATTTGATCCATAGAATGGAACTTACCTATAGGACACCATGGATACATATGCTATATTAAGACAGAAACAGATATGATAGAAAGGAGGTGAACACATATGTTGACACTGGTTCTCTTCACTTCCAGACATTCCAATTTAGCTCTCTTTTGTGAGAAGTAACCACTATCACTAGTTTAATATCAATCAACTAAAAATATTTGCTGAATATCTATTGTCGTTGTTTGAATTGCGCCCAAAGTAGATACTGAGACAAAGATGTGAGTGCAAGTAGCTCACTTGGGGGTGGGGAGAAATTCTGGGAGGTACACGTGAAGAAGCAGGAAAGAAGGCAGGAACGAAAGAAAAACCCATGAGTTTGGGTTAATAATGCAATTACCACCTGGGTAACTGGGGAATGAATCTGAGGCGTACCTGAGGCTGGGGGCTATTCTCAGCCATGATTATATGTCTAGAAAATCCCACAGAATCACCTGAATATTATTGTTAACAGTGAAGTTGGCTGACTTAGAAAACTGATAAATTTCTTATGTACTTAGCAAGATTTCTTCATAAAATCTAATGGGAAACATATATTTACAGTTCTCAACAATAAATATAAAACATATGTAAACAAATCTGTCGAATAATATACCTTACCGGGTATTGAAAGAATGTATTAACATTCCCTGAAGGCCAAAAAATAATATTTGAATAAACATCAGAACAAAAAAATATACAACTAAAGCTGGGTTTTTGAGTAAAGACAAATGTGATACAAATGCATTCAATAAGAATGTATCTCTGTTTGTAAATTAGGTTTTCAATGGGATTGGGAAAGATTAATAATAGGAAACTCACTTCTGAACACATTCTTTTGTGTTATTTAAATTTTTAACTAAAGGAGATGTTTGTATATAAGTGACATAAAATCCTTAGCAAAGAATAAATGTACTTTAGATAAAATTCACAGTTCTCTCTACAGATTCATTTCCATAAGTTTTCTATGTTTATGTTTAAGCTCCTACTTATTATACACTGAAGATGAAAACTACATTTCAGTCAGTCTTTCTGACTCTCAGATTAACTGTTGTGAATTACAAATAGCTTTTCAGGACTGTTTGAGTCCCCTAGCAAGCAGACCCAGAGATAAAAATTAGCAAACAAGGATGTTTATTGAGAAGTGTTCTTGAGATTAGCACTTCTAGAAGGAAAGGGAAGGGACATGAGCAGAAGTGGCGCTGGTAAGGTCCCTTTTTTTGTCTTGAACATAAAACCACAGTCTCCAGGAATACCTAGGGAATGTTATCAGGTCTGTTCCATTGCTTTATATCACCTCCCCGGCACTGAAGGTAGCCCCTCTATAAGGCAGAGTAAACTGAATATTCTGAATAATAATAATAAATCGAATGTACTGAAACTCTGGCTACTCGAATAAAGCAGAACTCCACTGTATATGTAAGGGCTTCCATGATAGCTCAGAAGATAAAAATCTGCCTGTGATGCAGGAGACCTGGGTTTGATCCCTGGGGCAGAAAGATCCCCTGGAGAATGGAATGGCAATCCACTCCAGTATTACAACAGACTAGTTCCAAATAGGAAGAGGAGTCCTTCAAGGCTGTATATTGTCACCCTGCTTATTTAACTTATATGCAGAGTACATCATAAGAAACACTGGGCTGGATGAAGCACAACCTGAAATCAAGATTTCCGGGAGAAATATCAATAACCTCAGATATACAGATGACTCCACCCTTATGGCAGAAAGTGAAGGAGAGCTAAAGAGCCTCTTGATGAAAGTAAAAGTGGAGAATGAAAGAGTTGGCTTAAAACTCAACATTCAGAAAACTAAGGTCATAGCATCCAGTCCTTTCACTTCATGGCAAATAGATGGGGAAACAGTGGCAGACTTTATTATGGGGGGCTCCAAAATCACTGCAGATGGTGATTTCAGCCATGAAATTAAAAGATGCTTACTCCTTGGAAGGATAGTTATGACCAACTTAGACAGCATATTAAAAAGCAGAAAATTACTTTCTCAACAAAGGTGCACCTAGCCAAAGCTATGGTTTTTCCAGTAGTCATGTATGGATGTGAGAGTTGGACTATAAAGAAAGCTGAGTGCCAAAGAATTGATGTTTCTGAACTGTGGTGTTGGAGAAGGCTTTTGAGAGTCCCTTGGACTGCAAGGAGATCCAAGCAGTCCATCCTAAAGGAAATCATTCCTGAATATTCATAGGAAGGACTGATGTTGAAGTTGAAATTCCAATCCTTTGGCCACCTGATGCAAAGAGCTGACTGACTCATTTGAAAAGACACTGATGCTGAGAAAGATTGAGGGTGGGAGGAGAAGGGGAGGACAGAGAATGAGATGGTTGGATGGCATCACCAACTCAATGGACATGAGTTTGAGTAAACTCTGGGAGTTGGTGATGGGTAGGGAGGCGTGGTGTGCTGCAGTCCATGGTGTCACAAAGATTTGGACACGACTGAGCAACTTAACTGAACTGAACTGAACTGAAGTTTGATTAATTTCTGCTCTTTGGCAGGTGCAGGCAAAATACAATTACTTTGGATCAAAATGTAAATACTTAAAACAAAGAAAGAGAGTAACAATCAGATTAAATTTTCAGTGCCAGTAGGAGGACATTTATTTAGGTTCATGGAAATAACAAGACATAAGAAAATCACCAAAACATGTCAGAGAGGTAAATTCAGTGGACTCACAAGTGATTTAGACAAGTTCCTTAAGCATGAAAAATAGATGTGCTGAAGAAAAAGGGAGGAGTGTTGGGAGAATATAATTTCCTGGGAGATTCTGAGTGATTACATTTAGAAGTGGGGGAGTTTGGAGAGAAGTTAGAACGTGGGCTCAGTATGCCTGGTGTTTGCTTATGAAATTCAAGGGACCAGTTCTCTTGAACCCTCCACAAGTTAAAAAGAAGCTCTGCAACTGTGGAGAGGGAGAAAATGAGAAAGCAGTGTGTTCAAAGCAGAGATTCAGCAGCAAGAGGAGGGACAGCACACGGGGCGGGGGCAGGTGGAGATGACACAGGTGGGCCGATAGCAAGTGGTGTGGCAGGAGACCCGGCCACACACTGGGCGCAGGCAGCAGCTTGGGCGGCAGCAGCTGGAGATGCGGGAGCAGGTGGGCTGGCAGCTCACAGACTGGCAGCACTGGGGCCTGTAGCAGCTGGAGATGCAGCAGGTAGGCCTGCAGCAGCTGGAACCACAGCTGGACCCACAGCAGGAGGGGCGGCAGCAGCTAGAGATGCAGCAGGTGGGGCGAGGGCAGGTGGGCTGGCAGCACTGGGGCCTGCAGCAGCTGGAGATGCAGCAAGTAGGCCTGCAGCAGCTGGAACCACAGCTGGAAACACAACAGGAGGGGCGGCAGCAGCTAGAGATGCAGCAGGTGGAGCGAGGGCAGGTGGGCTGGCAGCAGACCGGCCGGCAGCAGCTGGACACACTGCAGCTGGGGCGGCAGCAGGTGGTCCTGCAGCAGGTGGTCTGGAAGCAGCTGGGCTGGCAGCAGGTCTCCTGGCAGAGACTTCGGCCACAGCTCTGGTCAGAGCAGACGGAGCCACAACAGGAGCTGACCATGGTGTCAGAGGGTGGAGGTTCTGTTGTTAATAGGCGAGTGAGGTTCTTGAGTATGATCTCTCCTTGCCATCTGTCACTTTTATACCCTGCTGAGGACTACTTTGAGCATGTGCAGGATTATTGTTGTTGTTTTTATCTCAATAGAAAATCAGTTCACTTTAGCAAATTATATAATTGTGTTTATCCGGTAAATATTCCTATATTTAGAAATGGCACATTTCCTTTTCCTCTTATATTCTGAGCTATCTAATTTGGTTAAAGCCAAGTAAATCAGCACCCATATTTCTTCCCTTATCTGGTGTATCCTTCAAGTAGACTCATTATAAGACATTGCTTTGCTGGATTTCACAAGTTTTTATTTATGTATTTAACTCCAGGATAATATGTTGAGAGTGGATTTTATGGGGACTAAATCTCCTCTGTTGTCAAAGAGGTTAAGAGCAATCATATGAAAGGCTGGTAGGAAAATAGGATTAAAGACCCATGTTAGATTAGAGAGAGAACCACTCGTGTACCATGAAGAATACTCTGATTCCTTTGGACTACCGGATGTTCATTAATGTGTAAAAGATCCCAAAGAAAGTGCCCGTTTTCTTTATTGTGCTGTGTGTGCTAAGTCGCTTCAGTCATGTCTGACTCTTTGAGACCTTATGGACTTTAGCCTGCCAGACTCCTCTGTCCATGAGATTCTCTAGGCAAGAATACTGGAGTGGGTTGCTCTGCCCTCCTCCAGGGGATCGTCCCGATCCAGGAACTGAACCCATGTTTATTACATCTCATGCACTGGCAAGCATGTTCTTTACCACTGGTGCCACCAGGTGTTTTCTTTATTGGTTCTGTCTATAAAATGTTTTCTTTATTGGATCTATTCAATTTGAAAGAGTTATATTGCAGTGATTCACTACTTCTAAATAGTGAAAACACCTTGGCATGATGGGTCCTTTTTAACATTATTAAATTATTATTGACATGTTCTTCAGAGATGACATAATTTTTTTTAATCTATATTTTAGTAGGCCAACATACCCAATGGAATACGTATAACTGAGTATTATTGAAATATATTTTCTTGTATTATGAGGTATTGTCTCTTAGCAAGATATATTTGAGATTTTTCCTTGATATATATGAAAGATTAAGGGATTAAGTCTTAATTTCTGTCCCACAGGCACTTGAATAATACAAATAAAATACACACATGAGGTTTGCAGCTATTTAGAGTGTGATTACAAAATACCAATTATATATTTAAATCCATATACTTTTTATAAAATATAACACTAATAGTTACTATTTTTGAGTGCCTACTGCGTGTTAGGAATTTTGAGTCTTCTATAATTGTTATCTTGTTTACACTTCACAAGGACTCTGTGAGGTAAACACAATTTTCTTAATTCTTCTGACATGAAGTAATTATGACTCAGATAGACTGAAGTCACACAGTAAGCAGGAAAGGTTGTTCTCCCATAGAATGTTCAAAGAAGTTATGAATATTATACTCCTAAGTCATTTTCTTGCTGTCTCTTTTGTGTAAATATGCTTTCTCCCCTGTCAACTCAGCAAACTCTTGCTTGTACTTAAATGTCCAGCCAAGACACAAAATCATCTCTAATGTCTTTCTTGGTTTCTACCACATTCAAAATGAGTCCTTCCCTCCTTTTGTTTTAAGATATGCCTGTGATCTAGAGTATCACACTTGATTGTAACTGCTTTGTATGTCTATGTCCAGTCCTTCTGTTTGCCCCTATGAGGTCAGGCATTGTCTTTATTCAGTTTTATAGATGTGATACCCAGCAATTGCCCTGAGTGAATGTTAGTTGAATGACCATGGGATTTATTGAAAACACATGGCATTTACTTATCCTTTAACATGCTACAGATGATCTAGATGGATGGAGAAGAGCAGAGCAGACAATGGGGACATTATTGAATGAGGGCATAGGTTGACTTTTGATGAAGTATATGACTTGTCCAGATGGTAAGTGTAGAAAAGTAGAGAAAAAATAATGTTCACTGATAGAATGAGAGAATTTAAAGATAATCTTGAATTTATCCAAAGGAAAGTAGATAGCATCATACAGTTGGGAGAAAGTTGTGAATCAATATCTCAGCTTTGTAAATATTACTTAACTAGAGGTGAGTGGAATGACAGGAAGTGGAAAGACAGGTGTTGGTTGCAGTCTAGGGGTGAGAGGTGAATGCCTTTCTAGGTTGGTTATAGTGAGTGTGGTAAGGAAGATATTTATGCAATAGATGTTTCTAAGAGAGTCAACTAGGACCACTTACAAGATGGGAATGGAAGTGCTAGAAGATCTCATCATTAAAGAGGACTCAGTTTAATAATTTTCAATTGCCTACACATACATTTGGCAGTTAAGTTCTTTTTTTTTCTTTTTTCTTTTCATTTATTTTTATTAGTTGGAGGCTTAGGGTGAAGTAAGCCAGAAAGATAAAGACCAATACAGTATGCTAACGAATATATATGGAATTTAGAAAGATGGTAACGATAACCCTATAGGCAGTTAAGTTCTAATAGTGAGAAGACAATCATTTGTAATGAAAAAGAAATACATAGGAATCCCCCATAAACAAAGTAAAAAAAAAAAGATGAATAATGAACTGAAAATAAAATTACTTGCAATGTATGGCAAAGACAGAGTTAATGGCTTTAATATATAAAGCACTTATAAAATTAGATTCAATTAGATAAAAGGCCAAAAATCTGATGGAAAATAAAATGCAACTATTTCTTCAACATATAAAGATGCTCAATTTCACACATAATGATAGGAATGAAATTATACAGGATACTGCTTCTCACTTGTGAGACTGTCAAAAATTCAAGATCTGACAACATTCTCTGATCATAAGACTATGGAAATAAGTTTGCTCATGGTTTTCTTGTGATGATTTGATAATAAGTAGCAGCATTATTCTTTGATTCAGCTATTCCAAGTCTATAAATTATCCAAGAAGTACTCAGGAAAAAATATGAAAGCATGCAAGATTATTCATAGCAGTGCTCTTTGTAAAAACAAAGCAACAATAAATCTTATGTCCTTCAATATGGTACTGGTGAATAAACTACAGTGTGTTCCCATCAGGGAATAATATTAAGGTTGGTGCAAAAGTAATTGCAGTTTTGCATTGTTGAAATTTTCTGTTTGATATTGGAATACATTCTTAAATAAGTGTGGTTATGTTAGGCATAATTTTACTGCACATTTATCACTTTGTTTTTGCTAATGACATTACTTGCTGTTTGTTTTATATTTATTTTAGACTATAGAAATGATGTTAGACAAAAAATACATTCAAACAATTTTTTTATTCAAGTTTAAATGGGGTGTAAAATAGCAGAGACACCTCACAACATCCACAGTGCATTTGGCTCAGGAACTGCTAACAAACGTACAGTGCAGGGGTGATTCAAGAAGTTCTGCAAAGGGGATGAGAGTCTTGAAGATGAGGAACATAGTTGCCGGCCATCAGAAGTGTGAAACAGATCACCAGCCCAGGTTGGATGCATGAGACAAGTGCTTGGGCCTGGTGCACTGGGAAGACCCAGAGGGATCGGGTAGAGAGGGAGGTGGGAGCGGGGATCGGGATGGGGAATACATGTAAATCCATGGCTGATTCATGTCAATGTATGACAAAAACCACTACAGTATTGTAAAGTAATTAGCCTCCAACTAATAAAAATAAATGGAAAAAAAAAAGAAGTTGACAACAACCAACTGAGAGCAATCATTGAAGCTGATCCCCTTACAACTACACAAGAAATTGCCAAGGTACTCAACATTAACCATTCTACGGTCATTTGGCATTTGAAACAAATTGTAAAGATGAAAAAACTCCTTAAGTGGGTACCTCATGAGCTGACTGAAAATCAAAAAAATCATTTTGTCTTCTCTTACTGTACATAACAACAATGAACATTCCCAATCAGATTGTGACATGTGATGAAAAATGGACTTTATATGACAATCACTGATGACAAGCTCAGTGGTTGGACTGAGAAGTTCCAATGCACTTCCCAGAGCAAAATTTGCAACCAAAAAAGGTCATGGTCACTCTTTGGTGGTCTGCTGCCCAACTGATCCACTACATTTTTCTGAATCCTGGCAAAACCATTACATCTGAGAAGTATACTCATTAAATCAATAAGATACACTGAAAACTACAATGTCTACAGCCAGTATTGGTTAACAGAAAGGGCCCAATTCTCCAAGACAATTCCTGACTGCACATCACGCAACCAACACTTTAAAAGATGGACAAATTGAACTATGAGGTTTTGTCTCATCTGCCATATTCATCTGATCTCTAGCCAACCATCACTTCAAGCGTCTCAACAACTTTTTGCGCTTCCACAACTGCCAGAAGGCAGAAAATGCTTTCCAAGAATTCATTGAACCCTGAAGCATGGATTTTTATGCTACAGGAATAAACAGACTTATTTTTCATTGGCAAAAATGAGTTGATTGTAATGGTTCCTAATAAAGATGCATTTGAGCCTAGTTATAATGATTTAAAATTCACAGAAACTGTAATTACTTTTGAACCAACCTAATATTCGGTGGCAAAAAGTGATAAGGAGAATCTGTGTATGCTACTATGAAGTAATGTTTAGAATATATTGCTAAGATATGGTCAAACCAATGGATAAAGTATCTGTAGTGTTCTACAATATTTCTAAAATTTCTAAAAGAAAGCAAATATAGAAAACATTTGCTTCCATTATTTTATAAAATAATGGAAGAATAAAGAAAGAGGAGATGAGAAAACAAGAAAGAA